GCACAGCTGTCACATCGCAGCATTAGTATCAACGTTATCAACATAGGGCGAACGATCCCTGCATGAGGTGAGGCTATGCTGGAGTTTATACAACTCCGAAAACTTTCGATATTGCCCGCGGTAGGATCGTCGTCGTCGCGCAACCGCCTCCGCTCTCCGCAATCTTTCGGCTAGCAAAGCTGACTGCCACCTCCTCCATCGATGCCACTTCCCCGTGGACTCTGGGGTCAAGGTACGGACTGTGGAATCTACCAAGTCACAAATGGTCCCTGCGAAACGATGCTCTCTTGCGCATGAAGACTGTGTGCAACCAAGTCTGCAGTCGTCAGTCGATTCCCGTCAGAGCGGGCAAACGACAGCGGCCGAGACGAGACAAGACAAGGCGAGACGAGCGAGCGAAACTGAGACAGTAGAGTTTCCCCGAAAACGAAGGGATTGGCATTTGCGCACAGATGAACCGATTCAACTCCAAGCACTCGTCCACTATGCATACCAAAAACTCATCAAGATTTCATCTAACACGCTACCACATACGCGCCATGCACACAATCGCATAGCATCCAGAACATCGCCATCGGGAAATGCCCTCGATGAACGCCTTGTTAACGACCGTAGCGCCCACCTATATCACACTCACTCTGCAGCTGGTGGAACATGCATCGCAAGCGCGCTCCTACCCAGACACCGGCGTCTCAGCGCGGGGAAACCAAGACAGCGAGGAAGAGGCGTGTACCGCCGACTACATGCGAACTGCAGGAGAAGGAAGTAGGTAAATTATACAGGAGCGGGCGGGGTGATGTATGGGTAGGCAAACTGTGACGGTATTTTCTCGTAAGCCTTGCTTGTCCTCCTTTATTTCCTTGACTTTCGTTTACCCCGCTGGTATATGACGCGGATGTGTATCGGCTCCGCTGCGCTGTTGCTGTCACACGCATGAGGGTGGGGTTATGGGTATGGAGATAGGGCTGGGAAGGGATGATGCTGACACGCGTGTTTGAGATGAGGGCACATCTAGCCACGGTATCCAAGCGGTTAGAGCGTCGACACCTGACTAGTCCGTCTCCATGTGTGGATATTGAGGATGTATTCATTCTGAAGAGAGATGGGTACCTAGAAGCGAGTGGAGGGTTTCTTTTTGATAACGAGGCGCAGCGGCTTCTCGGCACATAGCAAAGACATTGACAGAAAAGGAATACAACCAAGCGTGCACTGTCACAATACCAACACTATCGGACCATAACGTGAAAAACCAAAGCAAAAGCTGACGTACTCAGCCTTGGGATCTTCGGAACATATCACAACAAGCAAAACCCCCTATCATATTTCATCAGCATACATACGTCATCTTCACTTTGCCTCGTCACCTCACCCACACCCTCAAGACTCAACAAACTCACATCTGACATCGGGCCCCCGGCCCATTTCCACCCGCCACGCAACTATACCCACCTACCCATCCGGCGCATTATCGCCCGACCTACCTACCCTAACCCCCCAAGCACGCCGGGGCGGCAACTACTTGTAAACCAGCCAAGCACCCGCATGCCGCAAGCCACCCATCTTGGCTGTTTTCCAGCGTCGCTGTAGACATGCGCTTTAATTTTCCAACTTAGGTATAGGTAGCTTCGGCCTCGCTCGTAAGTACACAATATGCAATACGTGGTAATGTAGATGGATGGCCTACCTACACAACCCCTGTGACGATCGCACCTGCAGACGGAGATCGCGCCGCACGGGCCATGCCTTTCAGCCTGCCAGGGCAGAGAGGTCCAGCCCAGCCGGCGTCTTGCAGGCTAGCCTAGCCTTGCCTAGCCTTTGCCCTGCCAGCCCTTGCATGCTTACATTTGCTTAGTCTAGCTGCCCTTTCCCTTCACTCCTTCCCTTTCCTTCCCTTCCCTTTGCATCACCCAGCACACACCCGCCAGCCAAGTGCCGGCGCCTCGCCTCGCCCCCTGTCGTAAACGTTGGTGCCCCTTGCGGTGGGGTGGGGGCTGTGAGAGACGATTATGTGAGGCAAGACGGTGGGGTCTCGAGACTGTTGAGGTGTTTCAGTAGAGTTGCGTACGCCGTCTGGGCAACGTTTTGCTTGCTTTGAGGCTGCACTGGCTTGCGTGTGTGTTTGTCTTGGGGCGTTTATTTTTGGGAACATAGGGAGGAGGCTCTGGGGGAGGTAGGTAGGGCGGAGGAGGGGGGGGGGGAACGGATGTTTGGTCACGGGGGAGGATGAATGGCGGGATGGGTTATTCCGGGGAGATTTAGATTGCGGAATCTTTCGTGGGGTTGTGGTCGCTGATATGCAATATGCCGGTCGATTTTGACGAGTTTTGGTCACTGCGGTATGTGTGCTGTGCTGGCCAACGGTGCTACTGCGGAGAGTGAAGGATGGGGTGGTGATATGGTTATTGAGATAGCTAAGTATATGTGCGTACTAGTGTGTGTTATGTACATTATTTACAATCAAACTCTAGTAATGAGAAGCGACAGAGTGAGAGATTAAGAGGAAAAGCCAAGAACGACGATAATTTGGTGGGAAGAGCAACAAAGGCGCGCATGCATTGTAAAGTTGTGTTGATGACGAGTTTTCTAAATCGCATTGTCTTTTGGCTGTTGGTGTTGAAAGTAATAAACGTGTGAACTTGATCCTTTCTCCGTCCATGTGTGCGCATGCTTTGCCAAAAGAAAGTGATTTGCAGTTGCTCTCAGTCTCTAACATTTGAATGCCCGAAATGCGCTTATGCCCTGTTTTGTGGTTGAAGGTGTTGGAGGAATGAAATTGCCCGGGGTATATTGTTGCCCTTCCCGATTTTAGACGCCGACGCTATGCAAAAGCAGTTGGATACAAGAAAAAAAAAGACACAGGACAAAAACGACAAGGAAAGAGGGAAAATGTGCAAAGGGGGGGCAGGGGGGTGATTAGGAAAGCTCCGAGCCAAGAGGTCTAACGCTAGAATGATCTAAAAAAGATAAAGCATTGAGACCAGCTGGCAGCTTTTAGACGAAAACACAGAACTGAAGCGAGCGCGGGTAGCTAGGGGTATAAAAGAGCGTGAGGCTTTTAACTTCGCGCCGGGTCGCGTTATACGTGGTAATACAGTGAATGGAAAAATAAAAACAGGAAAGCAAAACGCTGAAACAGTCAAGGAAATGGGTGACGGAGGATGTCTAGTGATCCGCGATATCTTCGTCCATCATCGGGTAGATGATGTCGGCGACAATGATGGCTTGGATGTGCTTGAAGAGAACGAAGCACCACATGCAGATGATCGCGATGGAAAGACCATTGCCGACGAAGAGCACAGTCTCGTCCTTGAGAGAGTTACCGATCGAGATGGTAGCAATGACGAAACCAGTGTTGGGGAAAACCATGGCCCACCATCCAAGATGGAAGTAGACGGCCCATGAGTTGATGACCTGGTAGTAATGTCAGGAACTGTTGTGAAGAAGCAATGTAGTGAGAAACTTACAGCAATGAGAGTAATCATGAAGAACCACATAGCCAGAACCCAAAGGAAGAGAGCGACAACGAGAGCGAGCGTCCTGAGTAGCTTGGCGTCGATGAGACCATCGCCCTGCAAGTCAAAGTCATCGGGAAGCGCGTTGGCCATACCGATCAAAGCCAAGCAGGTGAAAGAAGGCGGGCCGACTGCGATAAACATGGCACCTCGATGCTCGCGGTCGGGGTATCCGACCTGCATGAGACGACCAATGTAATGCGCGTACATGAGGATGGCGACAGTGAAACCCAAACCCTGGCAACCGATACCGGCAACGAGAATCGGCATTCTGGATGACACAGGCTGATCTTTGGCAATGACCGAGGCGATGGTACCAGCAAGCATGATGGGGAAGATGGGCAGGAGCCATGATGGCATGAAGCTGTTGAGCTTGTATGTGTGCGAGCAGAAGAGGAAGGAGTACTGGAAACTGGCAAGAAAGAAGGTGATGAAGGTGTATGCCCAGAACGCCACAGCCATGGTAGTGACTGCCCACGCACGATTGGGGTGATCCATCTCATAGGCTTCTATGACATACTTTTGTGTGCCGGTGATGATGGTAGCAATGGACAGGAAGAATGGACCGAGGAAGAGACCCTCACGCTCGTGAGAGATCGATGCTTTGAAGGAGCCAGAGTACTTGGTGAATCGGAGAATCAAGGTCATGGTGACGGCGGTGAAGAGCATGAGGTTGAAAATGTAGAAAACGGCGCCGACGGTGATGAGACCAGGGAACTTGTGTGGCTGGATAGCAATGAGGGTACTAAGACCACCAGTAGCCATAGTCAAGGTGTAGTTTGCCCAGGTGTAGTGCTTGATACGCTGGCCATATGTGAGGTATGGCTGGTTGGGGTCCTTCCTGCCTGGAATCTTGGTCTTGTGGTCCCATCCCGAGTGGCCATCGTCATGCTTGCCGTGCTTCTCGAGGTCGATGTTCTCCATGGCGGGAGGTGCGTGGTGGTGGTTTGGGTCTGTGAACGGGTTGTCTGGTTCTCTTGGTCGCTCTTTAGCATCGACGGGATAGCCGTTGGCGTTGACGGGTCCAGGGAAGTATCCCTGTTGCGACGGGTACAATGGCGCGGGTGTCTGCACCCATGTGTTTGTGCGAGTTGTCTCGCCGGATACAGTGGCCATATTTTGCGGCGCAACGGACGGTTCTCGGTACATTGGGGCCTGCTGCTGTGGCTGAGGAGGTTGCGGCTGCACCTGCACCTGCTGTTGTGGGTTAGGCATCTGCGAGTAACTGAGCTCCCGGCTGTGCTGCGGAGAGTGTTGCACTGATTGAGGACCAGAAGGCAGACCGTAGGCCTGTGCTGGTGGTTGTGCCATGGACATCCTAGGACCGGGACCGGCGGGCAAGCCATATTGACTCTCTTGCCGAGGTTGGGGAGTGTACTGCCGTTGCTGCTGGGGCGGGTATTGGGCTTGTTGTGGGCTCTGTTGGTACGGGCTCTGTTGTCGAGGTGGTTGGTACATGTTTGGTTGTTGTGCCGATGGAGGGTATTGCAAGCTGTCGGCATTAAGCGTGTAGGTGTCTTTGGTGTCGAACGACAGTCCTTCTGGCTGGAAGCGGGTGTCCATTGTGTAGTGAGTGGATAGGTGACCTGCACCAAGAGGAGTGGTAAACGGAAATGACGGCTGTTAAAGGAAAGAAACTATGACGGCAGAACGCGCAACAGCAATATGTATTAACCAGCACGGGGGCGGTATGATGAGAACCCAAGAGGCGAGCTTGGGACCAGGCCTGTGTCTTAACCAACACCGAACAGGATCAACACGGTTTAGAATTGTTCTCCATTTCGGCGCTGTTTCGAACTACGTACCATCCTAGCACTAATTACTTCTGGCGGCTAGTCACAGAGGCTCAAGCAGGCGTGGTGGGATCGGAGCAAGCTTGGCGCGGGTAGTGTTGCGTACCTGTCCCTGGTATCCACAGCCAGATGTCGAGTAAGCTCTGGGCCGCTATCAACGCACGTGCTTGTGATAAAGACCTGAAGTCGACATCGCTTCAAATTAGTCCAAGAATGGAAACCGCAGCTTGGCAGTGCCCGAAGCGCCAAGACGTTTGAAGTAGCTTCCGTTGCTTGGTATCCACAGAGTGCTTAAAGATGTCCACTGATCTACAGGCGTGGCTATGCTGCTTGCGCACAACACCAAGACGCCATGGAGCGATTAGGGGATCTAGTGTTACGCCAGCGGAGTGGCCATTTTGTAGTGACATTGTGAAGAGCGATATGGCGGCTGCTTTGGACCACCAACCAAATGCATTTTACCAAGGACTTCTCTTACACATGTGCATGGTCCCGAGCAGGATTCATGCTTCAGTCCCCAACGGAGCAGGGCCGAAGACTCATGACATGGTTTCGGGTAGGCGCCGCGGAACAGGGAGAGACCCTATCTTGGGTACAATGTACCCCCTGTGAAGCTGTAGTGGCCGTCTCCAATTTGGAACACCATGGGATGGTGCGGTCCGGGATCCTCCGAGAAGGCCAAGGCGGAGCCTCTATGTTCGGGGGTGGGCAGCGAGAAAATGTGATGCACGTCAAGCTTGAAAGCGACGGTGATTCGTGCTGCAGTAAAGGGGCTTGAAACGGGTGACGAAACGCTTAAAGCGGAGCTCCTTGTATGACTTGGACGCCAAGGTTCCCGCGTAAAACACACCAAGAACGACCCACCTAGGCGTCCGACGAAGCCACAGCCGCATACCAAACGACGTCGTTCAGGAATAAGGTTGAGGACAGTTTTGTGCGCGACTGATTGCGTATGCCCAACTTGGTCGGACCACGATCATCGCGTGCCCAGGTGGGATTTGCAAATACGGGTCTCAACAATGCTGCAAACGGCGCCCAAGCTTCTTTTTTTTTTCTCTTCTCTCGTTTATTTATGGCCCTGGCCCGGCCAAGGCTGCGAGAGCCTCAGAGCCTCAGAGCCTCAGGCAGGAAGTAGCCAGATACCGCAACCATAAGAGCACCGGCCCCCCAGCGCCGGCGCGTTCCAGAAGACCGTGTGCATCGCCGAGGCAATGTGCGACCTGACGGCGCTAGGCCTTGGCTGTTTTCCCTCTGTTACCGCGCAAACACGACCGACTGGATTAAAATTTCATAAAAATGCATGTAGATCGTCAGCAGTTGCGCGGCGCGTCTTGGACACTCGAATAGTACCACCACCTATGCGCTGGTCGGGTGTGGTGGGTCTCTGGCGATGAGTTTGACCTCGATCTCTGGGCGTGGGCAGTGCGCACCAGTGCATTCACTCTCTGCTATCTTCCAAGCCGCCATTCGGTCCGGCCAAAAGCATCGAGGCATACTTGTCGATGGGTCCATGGGGCGTGTAATAACTCTACATCAATGCACCTTATCACTGGATGAGTGCGTAATGAGGCTCAACGGCTTACATGGATTGATCTGCATGAGGCTGAGCCGCAGAACGGGCTGGGCCGTGCGCTTAGTTGAGCGCCTCTTGGGCGGCACTTTCACATGCTTGATGTCGCTTGGATCACTTATCGCTCCCATTTTGCTTGTTGCGGGCGGAATGGCAACGCCCCGTAAAAGCCTTCGGCGGAAGAAAGACGTGCAGTTCGCACTCGACTCCCGACCAGCCCAACCAAACCACTGCGCCCAAAGGTCCGAGATTGTGCTCTAGGGTCCCTCTTCCCTCTTCGAGTACCTCTGACGTATCTTGACTTACTTTTTTTACCACATACTCCAAGCTTCCCCTGCCCAAGGCACATTGATCGAGACACAGCACGATTCATATACTTGCGACGCCGCCAAAGAAGCGTAGCATTGGTTAATACTACCTCTCTTTAGACCATTTACTGCGTATCCAAGTAGATTACATTGTTAAGCCAAGACTGTGCGGCGACTTGTCGTTCGTCGTCATCCCATCACATTGATTAGCACCCTCCTACTTATAGGCTTTCGTAGATTCGCCCGAGAAACATCGGTTTCGGATTTGGTGTGTAGATCCAGCAAGGCCCTTAACCGTGTATTTGTGTAATCTACATCTTGCTAGCTTCTCTAAGCACCTCTTTCGTTAGTACTTCACCCTGTTTCCTTATTTCGCTCAGTCGCCCCATCTTTATTAACTTCTCAATCATCTCCTCGTCCCCAAAATGAGCGTTGTGTTCGAATTCCGGTTCCTCCCCGTACGCCACTCTTGCGGCCTCGATCAATATTCTCGCTGTCATTCCCCAGATCCTGAACGTTGTCAGACTGTCCAGCGCATCTGGCCCCGGCGTCGAGGGTGACGTAGAGCTGGAAGGTTTGCGTAGGAGCGAGGGGGATGGTGGAGGTCGTGGCATGTAGAAGTTGTGCATACGCCAGCGCGTTTCGTGCCAATCTACCCATGATCCCCTATACCACTTCTCTGGCCTTCCGTCTTTTTGAACAGGTGGTGGACCTTCGCCTTCCCATTCCTTGCGCAAGAAGTTGTGGAACGGAGCTGTGAAGACAGCAGCCACCTCTTTAGGGTCAAGGCGAGGCATCAGCTTTTCTTCGATGGAGTTGTTACTGGCGTCCGCTGAAGAGGAAGATATGGACGACTTATTTGGACCTAGGAACGCAACACAGGGTCGTACACCTAGTTCAGTCTTGGCTAGATTGGTAGGCAATTCACAGAGATGTTCTACACTGAAGCCGCGCAGTTTCTCATCGTCCGTGGGCAATCCAATTTCCTCGTCGGCTTCGCGGCGCGCAACGTCCCAAGGCGACTCGTCGAGCCTATCTGCTTTCCCTGTGCACATCAGCTCTGCACCCACAAAAGCATTGATGTATCATCACACCTCCCGGTAGTGACACCTGTCCAGCATAGTTCCTCAACTGTGCGCTCCGCATCGTGAGCACCACCTTGAGCTCACCATGACGGTCCGGGAATAGCAGGATAAGAACGGCGGCGCGTCGCGTGAGTGGGCAGTTATGCCATTGCGTCGGTGGAGGTTTATAAGCGCGAAGGCGATCCAATGCTTTCTGTGGAGTGGTTAGCAGCTACTAGGGGCTGGCCACGCCATAGTCTACTATGCGACTGTTGCATGCGCAGGTGCTGACGTACAACAGATCTTTGAGACAGCGCCATGGTCGCAGCTTTGCTCTGAGCAAACCATGTCGTCGGCCTCATAGGTTACGTATGACGCTTGAGTCGGAGGGGTTGAAGTAGCGGGCCGAGGCTATCGTCGTATCGATAGGCGGGAGGGAGCGAAGAAGCCTTCAACCCTCGTGGCGCCCCCAGCAAGCCTGGCTTGGCTGTCGTATCCGCCTTGGTATACTATATCACTCCAACGTAGCGGTTTCATCTCAACTCACTACTCTACCATCACTGCAAAGCACAAGATTAAGTAACTTTCATGCAATTGAATCGCATCTCTATATGACAGGAAACTCCCGATCGTTATCATCGACATGCGTGGACAGGGAAGAGTGCTATAGATCCCACCGCGTGAGCATGCGTCGACAACTTGCAGCAGATGCACAAAAACATAGGAAAGTAGCATGAAATTGCAGCAAAGAACCCATCCGTCAACTAAGCATCGTGAGCCTATCATATGCCGACATTCTTTTAGGGAAATCATTTCGCACATGAGAGACCAACGCCAAGATGCCGTGATGTATAGACGACTGCCCGTCCTACCCCGAACCACTTTTGAACCGATCAAATGGGGAGCACTGCTTGGCTAACAGCTGTGCTCGTATTAGAAGATCGCCGCCTCTAGCTGATGCACCACCGGGACGTTAGTGGGCAAACAGAGGCGGCGAGAAGAAGACAGCAGAGGACAGCTTCTTAGATGAGGTCTGTAGAGCGTGTTAGTGTGTGTGCCTATAAATATACATGTCGATTCAAACTTACCAGCCACGTTCATTGGCATCTCCTCGATCTGTGTGCTGTAGAACTGCTCGATTTCGCGCATCATACGGACATCGTCGGCGGTGACGAAGTTGATGGCAACACCCTTACGTCCGAAACGTCCACCACGACCGATGCGGTGGATGTAGTTCTCACGGTTGGCGGGCAAGTCGTAGTTGATGACAAGGGAGACCTGCTGCACATCGATACCACGGGCCAAAAGGTCAGTGGCGATGAGGACACGAGAAGATCCGGAACGGAATTCCTTCATGATGACATCACGCTGTGCCTGGTCCATGTCACCGTGCATGGCGGAGACGGTGAAGTCACGGGCAGTGAGCTTGTCGGTGAGCCAGTCGACCTTCCTGCGAGTGTTGCAGAAGATGACAGCCTGGGTGATGGTGACGGTCTCGTACAAGTCGGACAGGGTGTCAAGCTTCCAGTCCTCCTTCTCGACAGCAATGTAGAATTGCTTGATACCTTCGAGGGTAAGTTCGTCCTTCTTGACAAGGATACGGACGGGGTCACGCATGAACTTGGTGGTGACCTCAAGGACGTCCTGGGGCATGGTGGCGGACAGGAGGACGACCTGGGTTGACTGGGGCAGAAGCTGGAAGATGTCGTAGATCTGCTCGGTGAAACCGCGAGACAACATCTCGTCGGCCTCGTCAAGGACGAACATCTTCATGTGGTCGGTCTTCAGGACACGACGCTGGATCATGTCGTGGACACGGCCGGGAGTACCAACAACAACCTGCGGGCCGTCCTGGAGAGCCTTCATGTCGTCACGGACGCTGGTACCACCAATGCAGGCGTGGCACTGGATGTCCATGAAGTCACCGATGGCGACAACGACCTTCTGGATCTGCTGGGCGAGCTCTCGGGTGGGGGCGAGGATGAGCGCCTGGCAGGCCTTGACGTTCGAGTCGATCTTCTGGAGGGTCGAGATGGAGAAGGTAGCCGTCTTACCAGTACCGGACTGGGCCTGGGCAATGACATCGTTGCCTGTTGTTTGTGTTAGTCGGTATTTCCATTGTCGTGTTCTTGGTGGGGGGGTTTCGGCCCCTCACCGACCACGAAAAAAAGCCCGGCGTAGTCGCATCATCATCTCCTTCAAAATGATCTTGTCGGAGTGATGGCGGGTACACGACAGTGTTTTTGCTTTCTCGCTACAAGAGTGTGTGGGCGGACTTACCCTTGATGACGGGCATGATGGCGCGCTGCTGGATGGCCGAAGGACGCTCGAAACCGTAGGCGTAGACTCCACGGAGGAGCTCAGCCTTCAGGTTCATGTTGTCGAAAGAGTCGGTAATCTCATCGTAGTTGGACTCGATCTGGCCTGCGTATGTGTTAGCCTGGATTCACCTTTTTCTCGTGTGCTGTCGTTGTCGCGTTTGCATTCGCACTGCGGGGCGCGCAATATCTAACAGCGGCGGAGCAGCAGTCTGGAAGAAACTCACCCTCGGGCACATCCTCAAGACCTTTGTCAGCCATGATTGCGACTGGGAGAAGCGACTACTGGTGCTGGACCGTAGTCGAAAGGTTGCTCGTGGCGGGGTTAAAGCGGAGGATCCTCTGGATACCGCCGCGTACTTGTCTGTTGTAGGTGAAAACTAGATACCAGATCCTCTGCGCGAGAATCGAAGGGGTATCTAGAGTGATTTGAAAATTTATTGTAAGTTGGATTTGGTGGTGATGAAGCAGAAGGTGGGCTGGTGGGTGATGTTATAAACCAAAATTTCTTCGCAGGTGCTAAGGCCCGAGCGCTAAGACACTCGCTAATTTTTACAAGAGGCAAACCCTTGGTTGCGCCTTCACTTGTACCGGTCAATTTTGTAAGCTAGCCTATGACTCCTCTCATCTCTCGTGTCTTCGTTTGCATCTTATTTGCAGCCACAAAAACGCCTGTGCAACGCAAACACTAAGCATTGTCCCCCGCTCGTCATTGACATGGCGCCCGGCATCCTAGAACACCCTGGTATTGCCATTGCCGAATCACGACCAACGAAAAAATTAAAGACATCTGCAGCCACAGTCCTTGAAGACGACGACGAAGTGGCGAAATTCGTCGCAGTACCGTCGCATCCTCTGGGCATCAAGCCGGCCGGCAATGCGTATACGGCGTCCGAGAACATCAAGTCAAAATGTGGATTATTTGCCAGCCTGCCTGATGAGCTGCTGAGCCACATTCTTGAGTCATTCGAAGCTGACATCTTGATACGCCTGGGAAGCACGTGCCGGGCTCTCTATGCTTTTACCAGGTTGGATGAGTTGTGGAGGGCCTTATTCGTAAAGTGAGTACCATGGTAGATCCAAACACAAAGGCTTGTTTTCCTACCTAGCCATCTCCCAGTCATTTGCAGTCATTTGCGATCATCTCTTAGTCACCGCCAAACCCTTGGTTCGTCGAATTTCAGATCCGTCGTACAAATTCCGTCTGCGATGACTGTTCCTGCCCGCCTGACAATTTCCTGACGAGATGTTTGAGCCCAGTGTGCGATGGCCGAGAAATGCTGCATCCTGTCTTCCAGTCTCATTTATTTCCTGCTTATTGGAAATGACCAAATATTCTTCGCCAACAAGAATGATAATGAAGTGTTGTAAACGTCATGGTGTTTCTTCACGTACTGCTTCTTGCTCGCTTGCATCATCGCCTGTAAACCATTTCATAATCGAAGAGACTCCTACTGACTCACGAGTAGCTCTCCCGCCGACGATTTCGAGTGGCGCGGAACTTGGCGAGCAACCCATCTCAAGATCCCCAAAGAACATGTGACCTCGATACCCTGCAACAATCTATTCTCGGATGCCTTGTATCGGCCTTTTCAATGCGCCCACACACCCCTCAACCACTATGCGTTGAGCATTCCAAGATCAAATGAGATAGCTCGGTTATCAGATCTCAGTTATGATGAGTATGCGGAGACATGGGTAGACAAGCCTTTCATCCTCACTACTCCAGTCAAGGAATGGCCAGTATACGGTACCTGGACACCGGAGTCGCTCCTAGAAAAGTTCCCAGACACCAAGTTCCGAGCCGAAGCAGTAGACTGGCCTATGATAAAGTACATGTCCTATATGCACGACAACGCCGATGAATCACCTCTGTACCTCTTCGATCGCGCCTTTGCCGAAAAGACGAACATCGACATTACAGCGGCACCCCACTCAAAGCAAGCCGCATATTGGAGTCCCACATGTTTCGGCGACGACCTTTTCAGCGTGCTGGGAGAGCACCGCCCGGACTGCCGCTGGATGATCATGGGTCCCAAGCGCAGCGGATCTACGTTTCACAAAGACCCAAACGCAACGAGCGCGTGGAACGCTGTCCTCACTGGAAGCAAATACTGGCTCATGTTCCCTGCGGGTCCTGGCATCGAGCCCCCACCTGGGGTCATCGTCTCAGAAGATCAATCCGAAATTACCTCCCCGCTCAGTATCGCAGAGTATATGCTAACCTTCCACGAACTTGCGCGCCAGACTCCCGGCTGCAAAGAAGGAATCTGTTATTCTGGAGAGGTGTTGCATGTACCATCAGGCTGGTTCCACCTCGTTCTGAATCTCGAGGACAGCCTTGCATTGACACAAAACTTTGTCCCGAGGAAGAAACTACCAGACGTCCTGGCCTTCTTACGCGATCAGCGGAGCGAGGTCAGTGGGTTCAAGGAAGATGTTTGCGATCGGGCATATGAGCTCTTCGTAGAAAGACTACAGGAACAACACCCCGAGCTACTCGAGCAAGGTCTCGTTGAACTGGAAAACAAGACAAAGAAGAGCCGTGGTAAATGGGAGCAGTTGACCAAGGGAGACGACGAGGAGGAAGTAGCAGGAGGCTTCAGCTTCGGCTTTGGAGGTGACGACGATGACGCTGATATCCCATGAGTATGAGGTGGCGTTCGACGGCTCCTTCCAAACAAGTCAGAACACAACTTGAATAAACTCTCGCGAAAATCATCCCGGTGAATATCCCGTTCACATGCAAATCGGCCCACCGGCCATTTCCATCCCATCCATCCGTCCACCGGACATGCGCACCACCTCCCTAATACCTATCTCCAACCTTCCTAAATGATACCTTGCACAACTTTCCCCTTTCCCTGCACCGCACCATACCGCGACCGCACCGGACGCCGTCTCTCCCCGTAGTCTCTTGGTCCTCCCTTGGCATCAACGCACAGGCATATTCGCCAAGCCGTACCGACCCACGACTCTGCACAGTCCACCAGATCGACCTCGCAAGCGCGGACCGCTTAACTACTGTTCCTGCACACGAGCACGAGCGCGTGCTTTTCTGGGCATTTGCCTATTTCCGAGGAAAGACGATCGCAATTCTTTGGCTTTGGCACTAGGTGGCTTGTCGTGTTGGAGTGGAGCTCTTGGCGAGCTGGACTGTGCGGGATCCGTTGGTTTGGGCACAGAGGCAAGGGGGAGAGGGAGAAGAGATGAGGCTCTGTTTTTAGATGGGGGGCGATGTGACGCTAGGGTGTTGTTTGGGTTTGGGTAAATTGCAGTGGGGGTTTGTTGAGGAATTGCATGGAGGGATGATGTCACTGGATATAAGTCATGAGGATTGTACCGGTAGCCTGGTAGCTATTTACTTTTGTTTCACAAGCAACACTATTTGAGAGTTGAAAGTGTACGCAAAGAAAGGTTTTCGTGTTTTATATGACATGGATGTACTGTGCTGTGGGCAACTAGGGCATTTACCAGTAAAATATTGGAGCTCTGATGGAGGAAATGAGTGAAGCAACATCATCTTATACTATATTTGTGATCGTCTCAATTTGCAGAATATGAGACTATGATAGCTCTGTGCTACGCTCACCACTAATCGTTTCAAACTCTAGATGTATTTCTCTCACAATCCTATCTTATCTGTCTGATTATACACGAATCCTAAAAGAATAATCCTAAAAGAATAATCCTAAAAGAATAATCCTAAAAGAATAATCCTAAAAGAATAATCCTAAAAGAAAAAGAACATTACATGTACACATATCTACATGTATCCGTCTATCTCACACCAGCACATCTACACCTCTATCTACATCCGCCTCCCCATCTACATATGTGTACACCCATCTCCACCTCCACCAACATTCACGACACCAAACAAATAACTCCACACGCTCAAAAACATAAGACATATTGGAACAAGGTCCCTCTAGTAGTATGACTACTATGGATAACCGAGTGGGAGGAGGGACAAGGCGGGGTGGCTGCAACGTATTGTATAGACTATCGTATTGAGTGTCGCAGACTCACTCTGTTGTGGTGGGTGCTATTGCCCACCGGGCAGTGCCTGCCACACCAGCATATCATGTGACTCCCAAGCACCTTCTACCCTGGACTGAACTCAGATATTCTCAACAAGACATAATAAAACACAACAGAACAAGAACAAAAATCTCAGCCAACGCAAAAAATCGAATTAATCCACATCCCATGTGCAGGCCAAAATAAACAGCAGCAAGGGGGAGCTTTAACGCAAAAAGCTCTGGGTATCCCAAAAACAAGCAAACAACAGAACCGCTACAGCAACGGCAACGGAAACAAGGGTGCGTACGCTCTTTGTACAAGTACAGCGACAGGCCAACAACCCCACAACGCCCATATCCAACGAATCACACGCCCACACCCATGCCATCCCAAGCCTACCATGAACCCAAGTCCTAGATCCCCCCAAGCACCACCCCCACCCATCTCACGCATTCCAGACGTCTACACTACCCACTCCCCTCACTACTCTCCCCGCCACTAAAATAACTCTGATCCAGCCTTAAAATCCACTCAATCTTCTCCCTCTCACTCCTCGCTCTAAAAATATACGTATTACTTCTTGCGAAAACCGCAAACACGACATCTTTATTTACACCACTAGCTGCATTTCCGGGAACGCTCAACGATGCGCCGCTGCTAACGCTGCCGCCTCCAGAAAGCAGTCTAGCAATCTGCGGCGAATGATCGATTTTAGCGGTGGATACATTGATTGCGTTAATTTCATCGCCGTCGTTGGAGTAGATGTGCAGGTATGGTTTACGCAGTTCGACATATCGTCGTATCCAGCGGGTATTTGTCGGATCGGGTGTCATCAGGTAACTCGCCTTCATAAGGTTTGGATTCTTGGCAACGAAGCGTACAGTAGCTGTGAGACTCGGTGTCGGACTCGGGGATGGAGACGGTGAGCGGGGTGCAAAAGCTGCGCCATTCGATGGCGGTTCCAGATTCGTTGAATTGAGGATGATTTCCGCGGGGGCCTTTTTGGTCTTCCAAAGCGAGATTATGCGTGTGAGGAGCGCTTTTTGGGAGTCTGTTAAGGACTTGTTTTTTGAGGCGGCGAGCGCGGAGGTGGGGATGCTGAGAGCTTTGGAGGAGAGGACTGAGCGCGCGGTTTCAATGTCGGCGATGCGGCGGCGGCGCTTTTCCATGTCGATGAAGTCGCGGACGAGGGAGACGCCGCGAGGGGTCCAGCCGGAGAGTTGTTCTTCGCCTTTTATGTAGTCGTCTTTTGTGTTCATACGCCAGAGGTCCGTGGCGCGCTTTACGGAGGTGGGGCGGATGGCGACGTTGAAGATACCGACGGTGGAGTGGACGATCTTGACAGTATTCCAGATGCTGGCGAGGGAGAAGAGCGAGGTTTGGCGGATATATGAGCGGCCTCGGATCTGAACGAGGAGATCAAAGGAGAAGGTCATCGGTTCGATGAGTTTGGGCGATGTAACGTCGAAGAGTAGGGTTGTTTTGACCCGGAAGTTGTCTTTCGTCGCACGGTCAAGAATCTGGGAAGCATGTGCAGTGCTGTCCCACCTTCCTACAAACTTCACATTGGTTGTGCCGTCTGCGTTTTTCCTGATAAGCGGCGGCGAGACCAGATCCACTGGCACTTCCTTGACAGGCGAGCCGTAGTTTGGACAATTGCCTGCTGCATCGACCATGCGAATACGGCCCATACGGAGCGCCTTGACACCCTCCCAGTGTATTGTGTCTCCAGCAGTGTGGGTAAGGTTGACGACAATACGACGTGCCAGACCCTGATGGAGCTGGTACACTCCAGCATCCATAACGCTGCTCTGTGTGACTTCAACCGGCTGATATGTTCCATCATCCGTAATCTCTTGTATCTGTATACGCGAGAAGATATCATGTGTGTCCTCTGTATAAAACTCCGACTCTGGTAAGCGTGCGTTTCGTCGTTTTTGCTTGGGCTGCTCCGCCGAGTCGCGCATGTCGTCCCAACTTAGCAGCTTGTCAAGATGGATATCTGTCACTTTCGCGAAGATTGATATCCGCAAAAACGTGTCGCGCGGACTTGGATACGGAAGGCTCATGCTATGCACACTCTCGAAACGAATGGGCCCTTCGTTGAAATCTGTTATCCAAGTTGTAGTCGTCGCACCGCTCTCATCTGAGATACCGGGCACGAAGAGCACAGCGTGCACTTGAGTTCCTTCTCGTTCTGGGAAGCCAACGAACTCGTGCATACCGACATTAAACTTGAGCGTAGTTGAAGGAGCCTCTGCGGATGAAGGTTCTAACGACAGCCGGATGATACCAATAGGGTTTGCCGTATACGGAGAGATCACATCAAGACTAAAGTCCCGTACTCTCGACTCGAATACAGCGGCAAGCGGAACATCCACATCCCCTATCCGCGTGAACTCAGGCATGCACGGTTCTGAGAAAGGCGACTCAGGGTTGAAATGCTGGAAGTACTCTGGACGGTTCATGTACTGATGCATTTGGTGCATCCGCCGTACCCTATCGCGTAGCTTCTGCAACGACCAAAGGTGAACGACCTCATTCTTGAAATCAATGACGCGTATGCCGACGCATGGCTTTGATTGATTGTCAAGATACTCGTCGTCTTCTCCAGGGATGCCCATGTTGACCAGGTCGTAGGATGATGGGACTGTATGACCAATATCGACGATGCAAAACTGGAAAACAACGCGCTTGTCCATTTGCTGGCTCATGACCTGGGCCTCCTTCAGGATCGCCGCATTTTGCAAAAGCGTCTCCGCCATGGTGACATATTTCCGTCGCCGCCACTGTTTGGACACAGTCCGGATCAACTCCAGCTGATGTTCGTTCTGTGTGGCCTCGTCGGTTTCCGGTTCTTCGTTGATTTCAGGCGGGATATCATGTCCTAAGCTCTTCAATTGACGCTTGAATGCTTCTTTCTGCTCCTTCAGTTGCTTCTGCATCTCTTCTTTCGCAGCCCGCAGCTCTTCCAGCTCAACCTTGGCCTCCACGTCGGCCTTGAGTTTGCTCTGAAAGTCGTCCTTTGACTGCTCAATCTTCCTTTGCATGTCCTCTCGGATCTCGTGCATCTTTTCGCTACCTTCTTGCTGTGGCGTGGACGGCATCGTCAACATGGTATCCAGCGAGAAGTTGTCCAACGTCCCACTGCCACCAGAGGCATACTTCTCCCTGTCCCTGAAAGCGTATGAAGACATAGACTCGGTATCACCCTCGTCGCTGTATATCCGACTCTCCGGACGAGCTTTCCGTGTCTCGCGCAGCCTGCTGAGGTTTTCGAACAGCGCCTCAAAATCCTCGTCTGGAAGGGTCTCGATGCGTTTATCCGGTCCTAGCCAAGCAGTAAGGGCCTCCCTCCGCGCGTAGGAAAACTCGGACTCTCGACCGCGTTGCCACAGCGCAGGCGATCCGGCTCTGGGACTGTCTGGGTCGAAGTCGCTGTTCGCTATGCTAATTGCACTGTAGGATCTGTCGTGTCCGGGCCTAGGTGCGGGCGAAGGAGAATTCAGATTACCAGCCACTGTCTGTCGGAGAAGGCTTGTTCCGACTTCAGCGCGCTCCGCTCTTGCTTCTTGTGGGTTATTGAATCGAAAAATGTGGAAGTCGCCAAGGATGATGCGGTGCCCGCTCTTGAGTAACCTGGGCTTATCGATGCGTACGCCGTTAACCATGACACTAGCAGTTTCCTGGGGTATCACAGTAACCTTGCCGTCCACATTCTCAAAGTTGCAGTGCTCGGCAAGAATCTGCGAACCATTTAAGCGGATTTGTGCAGTCTGACCGTCAACGTCTGAGTTTCCCACTGTTGTCGTACCAGGTTTTAGATTGTAGACGAGACATTCGGTCAGAAGTGGATCATCACTCAAATTGACCAAATGAGGCATGTTCTTGGGCGTTGAAAGACCAACGAAGCCCTTTTCAATGCTGATTCCTAGCTCTTCTAAGGCAGCCTCGCGCTCCTTGTGAATTTCTTCCGTCTTTTGCAGCTTCTCTTCCCAAGTCTGATTCAACTCGGTGTAGAGCTTCTCCGATTGGTCCAGCTGCTCGACAATCTCAGCTTTTGAGACCTTCTTGATCGATCCATCTGCCTGTGTAATGGAGACAATTTGTTTTTCCAACGGTGTGTCTGGTGCGTACTGTTCTTCTATGATGCCGTTCGCACCCGGAGCGCCTCCCCCACCCCCACCTAATTGTGACCGCAATTTGGACAGTTCCTCCTTGAGTTCTCTAATCATGCGCGCGTTGGGGTCTTCGTTTACGACGGCGTGGTTCTTGATACGTTTCGCAGAGTCGGCATAACGGAGCGTGGAGAGGGTTTCGTCGAAGTTGATGTCGGCCGGGGAAATGGCAGCGATCATGGCAGTCATACTGTTTCCTCCTAGCGAGTCTTTGAGCAGCCATGTCAAGATGGAGTCTCGGTAGGGAACTTGAGCCTTTTTCTTCCCTGACGACTGATCCGCGAGGGCTGCAATGACACGACCTAGGGTAGAGAGAGATCGATTGATCTCTGCACCCTCCTTCAGCCTTGCGCCCGTTGCACCTGTCGAGGTAGCTCTTTCCGAACCAGCCAAATCAACCAAACTAATCTTTGCCACCCTCTCCCCGCTCATGCTTGTCTCGACATCGTGGCGTTTCTGGGTGAGGGTAAGGGTGAAGACGGCGTGCGATCGGGAGGAGGTTTCGTTCATGTTGGTCGCGGCGACGGTACGGGCCTTGTTTCCTTCGTCCATCAAGTTCTCGATTTCGGGAAAAGACTGGACGACCAGTTTGGCCAAATCTTCGACATAAGGACCGGTCGACGGGTGCTCTCGGACACGCAAATTGCCCTTGTTTGACGGATTTAGCAGATCGCGTACGCGCTCATTGTAGATTTCCAGATATGAGACTTCAACTGTGCATGTTGAATTCTTGTCCGCCTGCAACCCCTTTATCCTCTCAAACATGTCCTGGCAAATCTTGGGAATGATTCCGTATTCTGCGCCATAGCCCATCATCGAGTACGACTTGCCCGAACCCGTCTGACCGTAGGCGAAAATACAGTTGTTGTAGCCCTGGAAGGCATTGTCGAGAAGCGGCTTTCCGAGATCCTCGTGGAGGTTGTCTTGGCCCGCATAGTTGGGAGCATCGCGGTCAAAGGACCAGTAGGATCGGTCAAAGGCGAATGTCTTGGTGCCTTCGGCGGCGGCTTTGGCGGCCTTACCCTTGATATCCAGGTGTTGTGGGGGAGTCAGAATGGTCTGGTCGCCTTTCATCTGCACGATACATTGTGCATTGCGCGCCTTTTCTGCTTCCTGTTAGTCGCACAGTCTGATAGTCTGTACACGTGCCTGCCTACCTCGTCCGTTAAAAGGCCTGCATCGCACCACGACCTTGATATTCCCTCCGCCGGACGCCATGATGTCTGCTGCGGGCAATGTACTCGTAAAAGCCGGGGTATATGGGGGAAGGAGAAGCCAGCGCGGCCGTCGGTTTAAGCAGCGATCAGACGCGGAGTCTGTGGGACTTCATGGGCGGCGACGGGCGTTTCGGGCGACCTTTTGGGGCGACTTTTGTTCTTCTTTACGGGTCAGGAGTAGTTTGTTGTATGGTGTTGTCTTTTTTGGTACGCGCTCAGGGACACGATCCCTGTACGCCAGTGCCTGCAATGCAGCCGACCTATGCGGGATGAACGGCTGACGAGAACACACGACTCTGATTTGACCCGGCGAGAAACAAAACAATGGTAGAAACAATGGCGCCCCCCGGGGAAAATATTATCGCAGCTTGGAATCGGAATGGCGAGTGAGCGTCAGCCTCGAGGGGTAGTTTACCGTGGCCCGCCGCTCTAAATCATGAACCCTGCGTCATTTCGAGACGATACCGCAAATCTACTTTTCAACACCATCGATTCTCACACGAGAGCCACACGCACGTCTATCCATGTCGGCCCCAGAAGCCACCACCGACGACATGTTCGCGCCGCCTGTGAATCGTGCCATGAAGGTGCTCGACCGCAGCTTCTTCCAAAAGACCATTCCCACCTCGGCCGCGCGCATCTTCAACCCCAAGGACATTTCGCGCTGTCGCAAGGAATTGACCGCCAGCAAGGACACGCTGCCCACCAACCGAGTAGACCCAATAAGAGCGGACCCAGACCTAGAACTCGCCACTAAAGGCAGCAAATGCCTACTCCTACGACCCGAAGTGCTTCACACAGGTGAGTCACACGCAGCAGCGGGGTGCGTAGCCATATCTAAGTACTGAGTCCTGAAACCAGGCAGATCGAACAACATGGTCCCCTAAGCTACGCTCCCTAGAGCAAGACGGCACCTTAGGCGTAATCCCCTATCAACTCCACCTCGACTACAACTACTTCACCTACTCTGAAATCACCAGCGCCACCATCCCCCCACCCGAGTCCAAATACGACGATGAAATACCCCAAGGTTTCGCCCTCGCCGGCCACGTCGCCCACCTCAACCTGCGCGAGCGCTACTGGCCCTACAAACACCTCATCGCCACCGTGCTCGCAGACAAGAACCCAATGGTCAAAACTGTCATCAATAAACTCGATAACGTCGGTACGGAAAACGCGTTCCGAACGTTTCAGTACGAGGTTCTGCATGGCCCAGATGACATGAACGTCGAGCTGCGCGAGCAAGGGTGTACGTTTAAATTCGACTTTGCAAAGGTATATTGGAACACGCGGTTGCACACGGAGCACGAGCGCTTGTGTAACTTATTTCGCGAGGGCGAGGCCATTTGCGATGTCATGGCTGGTGTAGGCCCCTTTGCCATTCCCGCAGGCAAGAAGAAGTCTTTCGTGTGGGCCAACGATCTCAACCCTGAATCTTACAACGCACTGGTGGGAAACATCAAGACGAACAAAGTGGGGGATTTTGTGCGTCCTTTTAATACAGATGGTGGAGCATTTATCCGCCAAGCGTCCGTGGATCTATTGACGGGCGGAGAGGTTTCCATACCCATCTTCCCCAAGACCAAATCCTCCCGCTCGCAGCCTGACAAGGCACCCCCCGCGGCCCTGAAAACCCTCACCCAACCCCGGTTTTTCGCCCACTACGTCATGAACCTCCCCGCTTCTGCCATCACTTTCCTGCCCTCATTCATCGGTCTCTACGCCAATGTTCCCGGTCTTCCAGCCCAGGAAATAAAAGACATGATGAAGAAGCAAGACCAGAAACTTCCCATGATACATGTCCACTGCTTTTCAACAAAGAGCGAGGATAATGTCGCCGAGATCAAGGGTATTTGCGAGGAAATTGGCAGGCAGCTGCAGTGCAAGATTACGCCTGAGATGGAGGGCGTGGATGTGCATGATGTGAGGGATGTGGCGCCGAAGAAGAGGATGTTTTGTGCGAGTTTTAGGTTGCCGGAAGAGGTTGCTTTTAGGGGTATGTAGGTGAAGAAAGGGAGGATAGATGGTGAGTGGAATGATGGTTTTATGGAATTGTAATCTTCTATGGAGATTCATTACATTACTCATCTTTGTGTCCTCCACCACATTGCTCAAAATATACCCCGCTCCTTGCTTACATAAATCTCTCCTCTCACATGCTCTCTGCATCCATCATCCCATTCCATATCCTCAAAAGTCCATTAACATTTCATCCTCCACACCATCATCGTACTCTTCCCCCACCTCCTGATCATCCACACTAACCCTCATCCCACCACTCATCCCACTACCCAGTCGCTCAACTCCGTAACCATCGCCCCTCATCCCACCTCCACCTCCAACACCCACCTCTCCGCCATACAAACTCGGCGAATCTGCATCTCTAACAACAGAACCACCCATACTCTCCATCTCCACACTACCTTCCCCCATACTTCCAACCACACTATCAAACCCCCTCTGAACGCCCTCATGCAACACACCTCTCACATCTGCACCACCAACCCTCTCATACATGCTCTCCAAACACGCATCAACCTGTATAACCCACCGCATAACCGTCTTCTCGTCCACGCCGTCCAGGAAAGTTTCAAAGTCCCCATCAATTACGCTTTCCATGTCTAGAGTGAGAATACTGCTGGAGATGGAGTGGATGTCGATTTGCAGGTTGAGGGTAAGGTGGTGGGTGTGGAAGCCAGGGGTATGCGCTCAAGGGGGAGTCTGGAGGATTTGGTTCGTTCCAGGGTAGGGTGGTATTTGTATTGTTTGCCTTGAGTTCTCACGGGAAGAGAGGGGTGTGGGTGATCATGAGATAGGAAGTAGGCTTCTATTTCTTTAGCGGAAGTTTGGTCGCGGGTATCAGGTTTGCGGGTTTTTAAAGATGGGAGTGGGAGTGAACGGTTTGCGTTGTTGGAAGGGAGTGATATCCTGGCTCTTGGTTGATTTGGTGGCGCCTGGGAGTCCGGGTATGGTAACTCCTCATTTTGTGTATAGCTGTTTCCTCGGGGCTGTCTGCTCTGCCCAAAGAAGTTTCGAATATCGGACTCGTCTTCTGAGTAGATTCGGGGTCCTGTCATCCGTTCTGTCTGTTCCAACCTGGACGGATGCTGAGTATATAGTGCCTGGGATGATCTTCCAGGGTCATTAGTACGTTTTTGGCGACCAGAAAGTTTTGGAGGCTGTGATCCTGGAAATTGTTGCCCCGGCCATCCATCACTCGACTGCATCGGGGGAGGTGCAAACGGCTTATTAGCATAGGCCTGTCGCTTGCGTTGCGTTTTTGGAGGAGCTGGTGGTGCTGGAAGAGACATGTCCTGCGATGCCGGACTGGATTGTGGAAACATCAAGCTCGCTCGTTGGAAGTCTGCAGGAGCGGCATGATTTGACCTCTGAGTCCCGACTGAAGGTAACATGAGGTTGTTATGTCGCTGTTCTGCTAGCCTCTCTTCTCTTCCATCGTCAAATGCATCGGCTTCTGAAGGCCCTTGAGAAAGACGTTGAAAACTGCGCTCTAGCTCCTCATCTAATGGTGGCCTTGCCACGGTCGATCTCAATGACGTCTGTGGGGTTAGAGGCCTCGCAGAAGACGGTCTATTGGGAGTGACAGAAGGGTTCGGGGAGCTAGAGCGTGCGGCAACACCGTTTTGGCTTTTAGCTGGACTGAGCAATTGTCCGTTGTCAGCGACTGGCTTTGGTTTAATCGCTGCGTTCATCCGAGCGATAGTCCAAGGGTTTGACACCTCGACTGCGCGAATTCCCTCTTCTTGATCGATCGCCGGGGCTTGGCTTTCCTCCAGAAATTCCATGTCATCTTCGTCGATGCCATACATGGTTGACCTCCATCGCGGCTGTGCTCGAGACTTGGGCCCATCGTCCGGGCCCTGGATAGCATACTCTTTTGCTGCGATGGAAGTCCTATCAGAACGTTGCAGTGCCTCAGGTGAAGGGTCGAGATGCTGTTGGGCAGACATTGGTGGCTCCTCCTCGCTAACGTTGTCAACTGCTTCAGGATAATAAGACGTCAGCAGCCTATCAAACACGCCCAAGACAACCTCACTATTCTCAAACATGACATCATCTTTCGCTGGCTCTATATTAAGGGTCGTAACTGTCAGGAGGACAAATAATGTTCATGCAAAAGAAAGGTTCTTTCACACCCGCGAGGGATGAGTTCGACTTGCGGAGTAGCTCTTTGAAGGCCATAACAATTTGCTTGATGGTTCCGCGACTATTGGATAGAGGTCTTCCATCAACAGAGACAAAGGCGCCTTGACCTGAGATTTTCAACCCGTTTGCAGTCGGCTTGGGAAGGAAAGCATGGACCTCGAAACCGTCTGCTTCCATCGCAGTCCACTCACACTGAAGGGCGCATTCTTTGTCAACAACTTTTAAGGCAGCATCTTCAATGTTTGCATTGGCTTTTGGGGCGTATACGAAGTCGCTATTGCTGTTTTTCGCCTTGAGCACGTGGAGCCTGAAGCGTGTAGTAGGTCTGGCGAGTGCATATGCTTGCATCAACCGCCGAATCTTTGCAAGACATCTCGATGAGTTCTTCAATGCCGTCTGCTTTCTGACTGGTATGTAGTCGAAGAATTTAGTCACTTTGACAGTCGTACCAACGGGATGTGAGTCGTGCACGGTGCTGCATTCGTCAGTACCATGCAATTCCGTATACAAGAGACCGTCTTGATGACTTACGAAGCCAGCTCCCCATTACGATTATACTTGGTTTTGACCGCGACTAGCTCTCCTTCTACTCGAGTAGTGACATCAAGAGAGGCACTCATCTCCGCCATGCTTGATAGTGCCTCACCACGGAATCCAAGCCACTTGCCTCCGACGTTTCTCAAGTCGTGAAAGTCTCTGATTTTGCTAGTACAGTAGCGACGACAAACGAGAGGGCGATCTTCCGCTGGTATGCCATGTCCGTCATCTTTGACTTGAATTGGATCGATCGTGTTCGGCGTGATATCCACGAACATGCTCTTCGCTCGCGCATCTAACGCGTTATCTATAAGTTCTTGGACGACTGGGCTGGTATCGACAAGCACTTGACCAGAGCCGATCTGTCTCGTTGTTGTTGGTGGCAGTGCGGCGATACCGGGTAATGGGATGGTCTCAGGGCATTCTGTCATTTTGATAGAAATACGAATGGTGTTGAAATACTCGGCTTAGTACCGGAATGGTGATTGAGTGACATCCTTGAAGTGTGAGGACCCAAGGTAAGTGCCTCCATGGTGCCTACCTCTTGTTGCACACCCGCGCTTAAGACGGAAAGAGCCATCGCGCTACGCTTGCGGAGGTCGCGTATCTAGCACTGCGTTGTGGGGTGTGAATCATTATCGTTATGACCGATGTCAACTAGTTTTACTAGGCTAAACACATATCAATGTGATGGTGCCATGTCTCTGTCTAAGAGAAGTTCAGCATGCGTCATCGGATGTTTTCAATATAGCCAATCACAGCACGGGCGGCCTTGGAATCCTGCGAAGACTACATGAGCTCTTAAAGGCCTAAAATCTCTACTATCTCTGCTAGTTTGTTGATAAAGTGTATTGCAATTTTCGATCACAGACAAAGTGCAGTATGCCTTGATGAGACCCAAAAGATTGTACCCATGCTAACCAACTTCTAAGATTTCTCTACCATGGCCTACGTAACAGATGCCGAACGGTGGCGAGCCCTCACAACCCGCGACGCAAATTCCGAAGGCCACTTCATCTACTCCATCAAATCCACCAACATCTATTGCCGGCCGGCATGCCCCGGAAGGCTAGCGCGGAGAGCAAACGTTAGCTTCTACTCGACACCAGTTGAAGCAGAAGCAGCTGGATTCAGAGCATGTAAGCGCTGCAAACCGAACGCTGTACTTGAGGATCCACAAGAGCGAGCTGTCGAAAAAGCGCAGATGCTCATTGATGAAGCTTTGAGCAAGGACGACCAGAAATCGTTGAAGTTGCAGGATCTAGAGAAGAAGATCAACCGCACGCCACGGTACTTCCATAAGATATTCAAGAATAAGACAGGGATGACACCAAAAGAGTATGCAAAGAAGAGGGCAGCGGACCGTAGCAGTCTCAATGCGGCCCCTGCTTCGACGACGACCACCGAGGAAAGCGCACAATCGTGGAACTGGGATGCATGTAACTTCAACGACCTGGTCAACTTGAGAACTGACTCAAGTCATACTAGCATGGAAACTTTTCTCATGCCTACAGAGCAGCTGCCGGCAATCTATACGGACGTCGACTTTGATTTGGTCGGTGTCTCCCAGCCGTGGGCAGACTGGACTTCCTTATGGCCTTTCGACTGGGACAGCCCTGTCGACCATATACCAGCACGCATGTACTCACACGAGAAGAATCTGCCATCGGCATCGTTCCTCGAGACAGATGCTGCTGCGCTGTTCGAGTGCGATAGCCTCACGGAGCTCTTAAAAGCATGATGCTCACCATGCTGGCTTTCGTTTATATGACCGCGCTGTCTGTATCCAATGGCGATATGCACCTGCGATTGTCCTGGCGTAGTGCGCATTGCCCCCAGCCATCTAAGCATCAGGCATCTTCACCATACATCGCCAGACGACTCCATCATATCACGCACCATGGGCAAACTGGTTCGAGCACCGAAGCGCAATATCAACCTAATTCCGAAATCGTCAGCGACAGCCCAAGTCCCAAATGCCATGTAATGTGCGAAAAAAGCGCTCTTTCAGAGACCAAGTTATAAGCAGCGACGGCGTAACATATGTCGATGCTAGCCATACCTTTTCCGGCTCTTCCTAAAGTATTTAATGGTCGATGTAAAATTCATCTTTTGAGCTTCGTGTGTCGTGCATCGCGATGATGCTGTGAAAATGGAGAAAGTTGAACGTACCTTGGGAGAGGGCTACAGGAGCTAGAAGATGTGTGTTGGTTGGGTGGTGTTGATGAATACGTATTCTCATTAGAACAGCGAGGGATAGTGTGCAAAAGCTGCGCGACAGCATCGCGAAGCTGTACGAAAGTACGTCCAACGTGTTGGAGGGCGAGGCAGAAAAGTTGCAGGTTCGTTTCGGAGAAGGAAGACGCCGATGAAGATCCACTTGTGCGAAGCGAGACGCTAACGGCTTTCGTCTCGTAGCTGACCGGGGGTCATTTGGTCATCTGCACACGTGAAATGTTGTATCTTTCCCACATCTTATCTCTTGTTCTTTTGCATAGGGCTTGCCCTTTGTAGATTATTGATGTATATACCAAGTACCTGTCCAACTGGACAAACTCCAGAAGCGCGCAAGCCTCATACCCTCCACCATTGCACCCTCCCACATCAACCACCAACAGCCTCCCAAGCACTCAGCGGATCAGCCCAAATCTCCCAATGCCCAATCTTGCCCTCGTTATCAAACCCACTAAACCGATAAATAAATCTTTCATCCCACCCCTTCCCCGTCTTCCTACTCGTAAACCTGCCCTTACCGACCACACTCACCATCCCCGCCTCAGCATCAACAATGAACCCCTCCTTACCAGGAAAAGCATCATCAGGCAACGCCATCTCAAGCACATCAGTCATCAGTTTGAAATATTCCTCGCACCCCTCTCTCCCAGCAAAAGTCTTGGCGAGAAAGGGTAGTCGGGTGCGTGACCATTCGGGGCCGTGCTCCGTGATCCGGGGCCAGCTGCTGAAGTATTGCGCGAGTAGGTCGGAGGGCGGGGGCGGCGCGATCAAGGCGCGGCAGAAGGAGTGTGTGGTCTCGCGTAGTAGTGTGGTGCTGGACGACGACATGACTGGAGGGCGTTTCTCCGCGAAAGGAGGGGGGATGGAAAAAAATACCGGTGAATCAGATAGAGGTTGGTTGACCCTTTCGTCCTTGTAAGCGATGGATGCACGTGCAGGTCCCGTCCTGTACTGGATTTGTTGGTATTGTTTTTTGGGTCAAAGCACCACCACGCCCCGAAAGGTGATTTGGCGACTAGGGCGTCGTTGTGTGGCTTGCGCCCGAAGCGGCTGTTCCGTTTGCCTAACAGGTTGTCCGCGCGGTTTGGCGATGCGGTCGGCGTCAGCTAGGACATGTACGTGAGATTATAGTGCCTTGGGTGAAGACGTTGAGAATATGGAGAAAAGCAGGCGCCTAGGTGCAGTGCTAATCAAGGGTTTCGGGTATGCGGAGTATTGGCCTATGGAAATGAGGGTTCTGGGAGCACGAAGTGGGCGATCGCGATGAAGTCATTGTGATGGTGCCAATGATGTTATGCAGCGAGCAACCATCTGGGCATGATGCGGAGTCATGTGTATGTGTTTTACCTAAGCATGTCAAGTGCTCCCGAGGTCTCTCAACGTCCTGTCGGGTGGCAGAAATTTGGAAACCGGTCAGAATCAAGATTATCCTATCCAGGAAACATCCTTCGGGCGTGGACCACACAAGTGGTAATCTGCTTACCATCAGCAGCAAAATACGCGCGCAACTTAGAGACATATCTTGACGCTGGCCACGCACACGTCGCCCAACACATGCAGCGCGCTACAGTCATCAGCCTGCAACACGACCAATACCTGTCTGATTAGCCCCAACATGCCTCAGCCAACGTGCCCGGGTAGGGCAGTAGGTAAGGCTGCCACATTATCCACGCGGCTTACGTGTAGCGCCTTACGGAAGTGCCTTTGGTTGGCGCCAACGGAGATATTGTGCTGATCCACCACGAGCACTTGCCGACGCAAGTAAGGCATAGTGATAATGATATGATAATACTGACCGTTATTGCAGGTATGTTCGCTTACAGGGCGAAACATGTGTTTTCATTGGCACCAGCAAAGGAAACAAGTTGTAATAATATAACATGTATTATTTCATACCGAAACGCTATCGACGTTACGTTGTTGACTCTGGGTGGAATAGTAGAGATACCTGCTGCACTACCACGTTTTCCAAATATCGTAAAAAAGGACAATCAAACGCTCGTGTTGGAGCTAGATGGTAAAACGCCGCGTCGTGATACCAGACCGTATCCGACAGTCCCAGCCAGGCCCCCTATCGCTTGCATAATGAATCTTCCTAGAATTACAAATTCCCCGTTACACACATTTTAGGCGTAGCGTTCAGTCCATGGCTGTGAAGAGACACACCTGCCGTGCCATCTGGCTCGCAAGCAGTATCTCTCGGAAGACTTGATCCATGCCGCCTCGGAAGTGGATGGTGTAGCTGTCGACTTTTCCCTTCCTCCTCTTTTCGCCCCATACTAGCTTGATTGGTTGCGCGTCGTCGCATCGCTTGCCTGTCCTGCTCCCGGGTTTCGCCCAGTCTTTCTGGTATTCGTAGAGTGTCTCGGGCATAGCGTCGTCATTTGGGTCGCCCTGTTTCCACACAAAGCGACGTCCGCCGTATGTGAAGCGTCGGGGTGACCACGGAATCTTCTGCTGTCTATCTGGGTATTCCTTGATGGGTTGCGAGAATGGTCCTCGCAAGTGGATGCACCGCGATTTGTAGGCTGCGTCTTTGGAGGAGTCGGATGAGATGCGCTTCTTGTCGATGCCTGAGAGGAGGATGGATATGCATGGTTGTGGGAACTCGGCAACACGGTAGAACTCTGCGGCATTGACCTGGCAGTCGTCGCGGTGTGTGGCCTCCAACATGTACAAGGCGTACTTGTCCGAGTAGTCACGCGCACTGTAAATGTACTTTCTGAAGCCTGATGAGCCAGTCCATTCTCGTGTACGATGGAGGTTGAAAGTCGTTGTGGGCTGGGAGGGGTCGAGTAGTGAATGATAGGGGATGCTAGTCGAGGGCAGTTCGTCGTATGGGGCGTGCGAAACGGGCGAGTAAGAGGTTTGCCATGTCAGGAGGTTTTGGATCTAGGCCTGTCAGTCGCGACCTGGCGACGTCTGGAACATGTACTTACAGCCGACAGGCTCTCGCTCTCCTCGTCCAAGTCTCCATTGGCCCCCCATTGGTTTGGTGCTGGTACAAACACACACTCATTGCCTTCTTCGTCGATCTGGTCGCTTCCACTCTCAAGATGCGGCCGTAGTGCCCTCTGCCTCTCTCTGTGAATGGTAATCTGTGTTTTGATAATGCGTATCTGCTCATCTGTGTTGTCGTCTGGCGATATGCTGGTGTGCATGTACTCAATCTCTCGCTCCAGCGCCTTCGCTGCAGCCTCGTGCTGCAGCCATGAAGTATCGTAGAGCCAGGCATGCTCGGATTCGAAAGCAGAGCTCCGCAACAGCTCCAGATGTTCCCGGGGTGTGAGTGCGACGTGACCCATTCTGAGCTATGTGTAGTAATCAAGGTCCGGTTGGTAGAAGTTGGTGTCCAAGTTGCTTCTGAGCGGAAGATACAAAGTTGATTCGGATTGAACGGGGTTGTGTTTCAGCCTGGCAAACAGAAGGAATATGGAGCACGGAAGAAATGAGCGAGGGAGGCTGACAGCGTAGTCATAGCGGACAGGCTGGCAGCAGCTGATGAAGCATCAAGGGCCCGCGGGTAGGGTTGCGCTGCATGCCTGCATCCCCGTCGCGCCCGCCGGCCCCTGTCATACCGACTCTTGCTGCTGTGGCACTGGGGCGTATTGGGGCCAAGTTGCGGTGGGGTTTGTAGGTGAGGCGCCTTGCGCTAACCACATGCGGTAGTGCGAGATTGAAACTCAATGTAACAGGCGGTCGAGACAGGAACGCAACATGGCCCTAGAGATTAATCTTGCCATTGATAGCTTTCGTGCAGAGTGTCCAGTGGCAGGCCTACGGAGTTCCCGACGACCGGTTATGATGCTTGCCGTGCAATCGCACCGGCCCATGTACCGTTCCAAGGTACCGACGTGTCGGGTGCTCAGGTGTGTGTCTACTTAGAGTCTAGACGTCTGCCTTGATCTTCTGCCTCTGCTTTGCCTTGCCATGACCATGACGAGCGTGCTGACCGTCCTAATCAGCAGCCCAGTGCGGGCGCTTAGCAGGCACCGGACTCCGAACATGCGGTCTGTTCTACCGCTATCCCACCTCACACCACTCACACCCACCGGCTAGTCAGAGTGGCTTGCGCCGCCCCTCAACACCCATGCCCCGCAAGCGTCTTCGAGAACGGGTATGAAACGTTCTATACGAGCTTTATTTTCTTCTTGCGCAGGGACAGAGCATCCTTTGAAATCAGCGACTGCGGTGAAGCGTGTTGAGCATACGAGTGAGCCGTCGCGTTGGCAACTGGCTGACGGGAGGCTTAACTACCCCACGACTGTTACTCGCTTCAGCCGGCATCGTCGGCTCGCCTTGCGGATAATCCCTTGGACATGATAGTTACCCTAGGTAGCCCAGACTGCGTAAACTTTACTCAAGAACCTCGCCGTAAACGTGCCACTTTGTCTTTTGCGACGCCACTAAGTACGAGGACGCCAGAAATTAGAGGCCCGAAAGCGCGCGGCATCATGAACGGCATTGATTCAATCTCCTGCGTTGATTTCTCGTATTCGCAAAGCTGGCGCCAAGCACTCGCGTCCCGCACACGGTTCCCGAAGATACCCTGGAAATCGTCCGATGCCTTGCATACCTACGTAAACCGCAAAGACACGTATGTAGACAACTTGTCGTTCTCAACATTCAACTTGGTGCCCGTGCTGGGCCATTTCAAAAACACACGGAGAGCAGGACTGCCATGACCGACCTTGTTACGACGTCGGGACCCTGGAGGACTACTGCGCGTGTACATACGCCCAGCCATTCCATCGGATTCAAAAATGACCCACTTGTCCTGTCGGCGTACAAGAAGGATTCGATCGTGTTCCTTCATACTTCCGCCTTGTGTGCCCAATCGGATGTGGCTGACTTCATGTCTCACAAAGGCCAGGCAACATTGAGACATCTCCACATGAGTCCTCTGTCCTGCTGTCGTCGTATGATACGCGGCCTTGCCAAGGCGAGCGAAACGGAGGACTCTGACCGGTGCAATTTCTCCCAAGGACGTCATTCCTGGAGGCTTGTGAGGAATAGACTTTCGCTAGAGCCTATAGGCAATGCTGTTCGCTGTGCGTATTTCGTTCCAAAACCTGAAGTATAAGAAGACTAAAGACAGACGCGTCATCGACGCTGTAGTAATAGAATGCAGGACAACCGCACACCACGACGCCGAACAGGTCGCCGAACAGTAGCAGGATGGCTCACCGCTTCGGTTACGTTGTGACACACTCTCTTTGGTGTCACCTAGCAGCGCGTGGAGCGTGATATTGGCAAGCTGCAATGCAAGGTACGTAGCCATATACCGTACTCGTTACCGACGCCATGGTTCCGACAGCTCAACTTCATGGCTCATGTATTGAAATCTTCTATCGGATGCATATTCCATATTCTCTTTCCAAATATGATAGAATAACAACCTGAACTTGCATGGCGTTTTCGTAGCCTGTCTTCTAAAATCCTCTGCCTTTTCGTTCCTACTGAACCCTGCCATCTGCTGTTGCATACGGACTCAAGCTACATCATCACGGCACAACGTTGCATCAGCCGACTAGGCAAGTGTCGGAAAAGCTCGGTAGAGCTCTCGTCAAGATGTTGTGATCGATGGTTCTTCAATTTGGTACGCTAAGGATGCGTACCGTGGTACTGCCAGCCCACGACCCATCAAATCAATCTCGCAAATCCTCAAACGCTGCGTCGTTCTCGTCAAACGGCTCGAGGTCACCTTTGCCCTTGAAAACCTTGAGGATGGTCCCCTGCTCACTCAGCACGAATCTTGACCTCTGATTTCCCACTTCCGCCAACGCACTCCACCTCTCCCTGTCCGCCTTATTTCTCTTGTCCCCCAGCGCCTCCGCCCTCCTCTTCCAATGGCCCTCTGAAAACGCAATCATAGTCGTCATCTTCTTCACCTTGATGTCGTACACTACCGACACTATCGTGCCCGTCTCTTCTAGCCAGTTGATCTGCCACAGCTCCCCCGGCCGAATGCATTGGAAGTTGGCGCGCTGGTAGTTTACGCGACCGGCCATGGGTCCGCCGTGGACGGCGTAGATGATACATTTAGAGGAAAATACCCAGAGTTCGTAGCGCCATTTTTCGGGGTTGCCATCGCCGTCTTGTGCGTCGTAGTCGTAGACTAGGTGCGTGTCGAGCATGTCAGTTTGAAAGCTGGGGTCGAGAGGCGTGTTTGTGAGGAAATCGGGGAGCGTGTCGCCGGGTGCCATTTTGAGTGAGATTGGTATTGAGGGGTGGGAGGTGTGTTTTCTTTTGTCTGGATGTTGTATGCGGTGCTGGGAATAAGATGGAAGAGTACGTATATACCTGGGTAACGGTTTTATATACAAGCCGCCGGCTTCACCGGAATGATGACGTGGGGCGTGGGAGCTAACTGTCGTTGCGGCTTCGGCGCTATTGATAAAAACAACATCTAGTCTAGTCTTAGCTATTGGTGCTAAACGCGGTGATTACCTAACTTTTGCTGTGAGCTCTATCTGAGTCTCATCGACTCATTATCGACAACGAGGTTGAAGGACGAACCAAATCTGTTCAAGGCAACTTTGCTGTATCGTGAAACTCTGCCACCACCATGGCTCTGACATCATCGTATCTATCCTACACACCATCTTTAGATCTTGTCTTCTTCCTCAACTTACGCCGCTAGGGCTCAAGTCAATGAAAAAGATAAAATAGAGTTAAGGCGTGAGCAGACTGAAAGTGGGCTGACAAGCACCCTCACAGTGTCTACGCAACGGAAGTCGCGTGCGCCCTACTTTGGCCCGTTTAACACCCGTCGGGCACTGGTTTTGCATGCCGGCATGCTACTCCCAACCCTCGAAAACATGAACGATGCCAGCTCGTTCACATCCCTACAATTGAGATCTCTTTGGAGATTGCTCAATGAAGCGGGTGAGATGCTTTGACTCGTACTGCTGATGGCCCATACAGGGTGAGGTTCCCTCAAACTACGTTGATGGGGCCTTAGAGATAAATTGAAATGCAAGAAGCACACCAACTTTTGGTAGGAGAGGTGAGATCAGAGAATCAAGAAAGCATGTGTTTCTCTGTTCTCTACATCCAGGTGCTGTGAGTCCCCAACATGACCTGCGTGTGTGAACCAGAGCATAGCACAAGGAGCTCTCATTGGTTTCCGTGACTCACCAAAGCCGCAGCTGTTTCTCGCATGACTAATTTGCGCGTTCATCGAGCCCCGTACGTACCTGATACGTCCCAATCGGGAAGTCACCGTTTGCAATGCGGCACACTTTCAAGTCCACGAGAAACGGAGTTTACGCTCCCAGCAAGCTACTTACGTCACAATGTGTATTTGGACTTATCATAGCTCTTATTGTTGCTTTGTCAGCATTTGAGCTGATGGCTCACTCATGGATAGCCGTAACTTACGTGGCAATCCGGGTGTGAACGGTCTGTAGGTACTGTATTCCAGCTACCTAATCCAGATGCTATTTACAGTCGAGATGAAGAGAAGAAGAGGAAAGTGGGCGGCCATCCTGCTTTGTTTGGGTTGGTGCACGGCCCACGTTCTGCTGGGGGAAAGAGTGATAGAAGGAAGGAAGCGACTAGGCTGGCAACCTAGTCATGTGACCTCGGGCTCAACCCGTTACACCGGGCGAGGATTCAACAGGTTGCAATGTGCACATATGGCATTAACCAATGGAGATGAGTAGCTCATGGCCTAGAGTGAGCTGGGTCAGTCTCAAAGCCGTCTGTGTACAAACAGAACCTCTGTCCGAGCTCAATGTGCACACACCGCCTGAAAGGTCAAGTAGAACATTCCTCACTGGATTCTTCCAAACCACTATCTCAATACTCATGATTCAATGTTACATACAAAGCTTGAGGCATAGAGATTGGGTTATGAGGCTTTCAGACCGACGCGCTCCGCACGGCCGTGAATACGAAATTTCCGAAAAGGGAAATAGAGCGCAATTTCAATTTATGACGCAACGGACTCATGGAAAGCAAACACTCCATGCTTAGCGTCTCCTTCTATGTCTGGTCTTCTTCGTCACCACGCTCGTGTTGCCTAGGTATCCCACTATCCACTTGTTTACTTGACGCAAGGCGCATTACGTCGCAGAATGGACGACACTTTGTCCGCAGAGTTCAGTGAATATGCCAGCACAATTCAGGAGTTACTACGCATCAGTGGCGTACCGAACCTTTCTTTCGGGGTCTTCCACAATGGAGTGAACATTTACAGCCACCACGCGGGGCAGGATGGAGTCCAGACCGAGTATGATGATGGCGACAAGAGTCTCACGAGACCTCAGCTTCCCAATGACGACACTGTGTATCCGGTCTCATGCCTTTCCAGTCTCTTCCTCCATTGTACCATAATGCGCTTCATTAAGGAAGGCGTCCTCAACATGGATACGCCAATCCGCGAATATATTCGTGCATTCGAGGAACGCGACGACGACATCGGACAACGAGCTACACTTCGCGATCTGTTGACGCATAAATCTGGATTTCCAACAGACAAGCTCTGGTGGCAAAGTACGAAGGCGTCCAAAACAGAAATTATGCAGGTTGCAGTACACTTGGCAAATGTATCGGATTTCAGGATGCAGAAGAACTACTCCAAATGGAACGATTTTGTCGTACAGACTATTGTTGAGACCGTAACAGGCCGCGAGTATGAAGAAATTGTCGAAGAGCTTTTCAAAACACCCCTTGGAATCAGTAGCAAGGCGCCATCTGTATTGGACGAGCCTAACGTTGCTTATGCCCACGAGGTATTGGGTGACGGCCGCATCAAGCCAGTAGATCAGGATCCCATCACGCGCGATGAATGCTTACCAATGCACACAATGAAGCACTCATTATTTCAGTCTGTTCATGCCCTCCGCCAACTTGTTACTGCATACGACCGCCAACATTGGAACGGGACAGGATTCACACCAGGAAATCTGTTCGTTCGTGTTGAAAACGTTTTCAGCATGATGACAGACGCACTACAACCCGGTAAACCTATCCATGTCACGGAGCACTCAGACGGGTGCCAGGCTGGGTTCATCATTATCCCCGAAACGCGCAGCGGGGTCATCTGCATGAGCAACGCAACATCAGCTATCGGCTTGTGTAACATTGTTGGCCACCAGTTAGTCGACATGTTGACAGGGGATCATGTGAAAGAACGATCGCTAGTCAAATCAATTTCCGAAGCGTTCCAAAAGCAGAAGGATCTCCACACAACTTTGATTGGCCGGCTAAGCACTGTGGAACAGATATCGAGTCCTCATAAGACTCTTCTTGTACAGTTTGAAGGGCTGTATCAGAAATTTGAACGCAATGTGACCCTGCGCATTAGGCACGCAGGCCTTGGGCTACTAGTAACAGTCGATGGCTCAGAAAAGAGACAGTTGGACTTGAGACGAATGGCAGATGACAAGTTTGTTTGGCTTCCACGATACCCCGGGGATATGCTACAAGGCATTGAGCAAGAAGTAACCCTTTCCGAGCGAACCGTTCAGTTCGAGATTGATGGCTCCGAAGTAATTGCGCTGAAATGGCCTCTGAACCCCGAATTCCCCCCAGAGAATTCCCCCAAGACAACAGAAGCCCCCAAAGAACTCTACGGTTCCGAGCTAATGCTTTTGCCCCCTGAGCTCCGCAACATGATCTGCATCGAGGCACTCAAGACATCAACCGGAAACATTTGCATGGTGCCCAACGGCCAGGGGTACGTTTTTGTCAGGGATGAGATGACACCAGACAACATTGTCAGACCACTTAACCAGACCAAAAACACAAACAAGCAGTTGAAGCAACAGTCACGTGGCCTTGAGCTCACGGCAAATGATCTTTTCGCTGACGGGCGTCACTTTGACGAGTTCCTGCGTTCGAACGTAAGTTGAACATGAAAATTGGGCGAAATGACTACACACTAACCACGAATACAACTAGGACGTTCAATTGCAAGCCTGTATCCGGAACTTAACTCTGATGGGAGACTTCCTATCCTTCGACAACCCCGAGGAGGCTGACTTACAGCGCATCATCAACTTCGCAAATAACAATAAGTCCGCTACAGTGCATATCCGCCTTTTCGGTATGCATTTCGATGATAATCAGAGGATCTTCACGTTCATGGGCTTTATCTACCTTATCAAGAAAGTGATACGTGGACAGGGTGCGGCGCTTTTCGGGAGTCTTGACAAACGCGCCAAGAAATGGGGAAGGGTTGAGAGAAGTGGCACGAACATGAACGTATCCAACGTGAAGTTCTTTCCAAAGGACGCAGATTTCGACGAGGATACTTTCCGAAACAAACTGGAAGTCTGTATCCGAGGGAACAGTAACACGTCCTACATGTTACTGTCAAGACACAACGGCGACCCGGAGGCCATAGTAGACTTCGTGAGGGAGTGTTACAATGATGGCATCTAGCTTACTAGATATCCGTCTCTATGTTTCTTTGCGGAGGAACAAAAGTGCTCCAGACTCCACGATCAGAACTTCTAATGTCAAAACTCCGGCCGGTGGAATGAGTGAAGTTGCTCGGCTTATTTAGTCCGAAAAACTGGCTAGCAATGATAAGACATAAAATACCTTTCTTGACCTTTATGCATGACAAACACCGTAATCATGTCCAAACTAAACATGCAAACCAACTGGAAGATCCAGTAGGTCTTCTCATGCTGCATCTTCCAACTCATCATCTCGACAGATAATGATACTTTGCGAACTGATACAGTAAAAAGGCCTTATTGAGGCTAGTCTTAGTTGCGCACTTTGCAAAGAATCTTGCATCTTCTGTTTACCCCCAAGCCTCAAGGCTTTCCTCCCTTTGTGTCATGCAGCGCATATGATCTCGCTCGCTGGACAACCCCAGACAGCCTGAATGACGTTCCTGCAAATGCTTCGTGGTGCATGGACAAGTTGCGCTATACGTCTTTTGCATTTGCTTCATGCATGGCGTTTAGTGCCTTGGTTGCCGCTCGCTGAACACCTCCAGACTGCCCCGCCTGTAGCTCTCTGAGCCGCGCTTTCACAACGACCACCGCTCCAAACTCATTCCTTCCTTTACCGCGTAGGTTTTCTCGTCTTCTTTCGCGCCCTGTAGGAACCGCTGACCACAAACTACAAGCCACTCTGCCACAGCCGGGATCTCGAAATCCAGCAGCGCGTCTTTTCCGAGAGCTTTCTCGATGGCTTCATATCCCCAGCCGATTGGAATATGCGCAAGGCCAGCCATGAATAATCGCGCCTCGAACTCAGCCGTTCTTGCGTGCTCGTCCCGTAGTGCATCGCGCTTTGAGCCACTGGTCTTCTCGGCGTCGGATTTCCAGCTTCCGGATCGATAATAGACGTCGTACCATATATGGCCGAAATCTGACAGACCTTTCCAAAGCTTGTCCTGAGGCTGCTTGCTTGGTTGAGCAGCCGTAAATTCGGGTTGCGGAAGGTCTTCGATAGCTTGTAGCAGTGCTAGTAACGGCTCAGTTTGGTGCCGTAGGTCTAGAAGAGCATCCATTAGGAGGCCATAAAGCTGGCAAATATCGCCACGAGGGTCATCTAAGTTCACCACAGGGCGAGTGATGGCCTCAGCTGCTTCGGTTGCAGTCGTCTTCTGGCGCAGGTAGTCTTTGAGAGCTCATACTTCCTCGGGATGGTTTTCCTGTTCAGGGATAAGCTTGGACGAAAACCAATCGTCCGACATGATGTTTTGCGACGGTATCGGATTGTGTGCAGGGGATATCTGTATAGCAGAAAGAGCAGGGATGTATTCGTTGTGGGGTGTTGTATAGGGGCAGATCAAAGTCCGTCTTATAGCCCTCGAACTGACGTGCCGTACCCCGGTTCTGGTGTGTGTAGATGGACGCTGAGGCAGGTCGAAAAGCTCGGTAGGCTGCTGTCAGATCAGGTAAGATGGCATCACATGAATGTCATTACCCACATACGGCTGCAGCGCGGTTTCGCTTGCCTTCCGTACGTAGCTTAGCGCTCTATGTGAGTCCAAAGGCTCGGTCACTTCTTAATGTGGTGCTGCTTGGCGACTCTAGTAAACCATGGTACATGGAGTGATTACAGCGACGCATTAACTTGGTAATCGTTAGTGGATTCATAGCTACTACTCGATTCATCTCTGAAGACAACGCTACCAATAACTTCCAGGCATCGTGCCGCTCGCACTCTCCCTTAGGTGGGACCCAACGCAGCGACGCACCACGCTAATCGCAACGCTTCGTGTAGGGCAGTCTTCGATTGAGTGAATGTAATGCCGGTGCGCAGATGCGACATAAAGTTACACGCACTGGTCACTGCTAGATTGATAAGCTTGGCTAGGTGCCAAGTGCCCCTGCTAGAGAAGCGCAGCAACGTACAGACCAACCTGACGTAATACTAGGCGACGGTGTCGAGCAATAGGGTGAAGTGCCTAATCGACACAGGGTCACAGATGACGATTCATCAACTCAGTACTACGCGATACCGTATAATGGTACCAACCTTAGTCACCATGGTACGGTGCATTCGACCCAACGAGCCGCCCGCGCAAAACTACCGCAACCAAATGACTTGGAACGATTATAACAACGCACCAGATTTTCCATCGTAAGGGAACTCATAGCTGTCTTGACTGTACTATGGTCATTAGCAGTTCATCAGCGCTTTTGACACAGCCGTCGCCACTACCCGCCGAAGTCATATTCATCACAGACAAATTATAAAAAAAGAACATGTCTGTCGCCGCATAAAATGTGATCATAAAAGCGGAATATCAGGATAGACACAGAGATAAACTTCCCTGGTTGACTCATTTCTTGATGGGCATTCTATACAATGAGCTTCTCGGGTAATCTTCGTCAGCCACAACCACTCATACGGAAACATTTCCCTGCACAAAGAAAGAAAGCCTCTAGTACAACGTAAAAGTCCCTGTCAAGACTTTAAGCCCCCTTTTCTTGCCCTCTGTATGCAGCAATATCATCCCCTGACGTCTGTGTAGATACTACGCCATATATGATGTTTTCATCGAGTGGTGCAACGCCGACCCGTTTTGCTTCCGCCTCGGTAAAAGTACCGTATAGATCTACAGAGTCCATCTGGTCCATATCTGGTACAGAGAAAATCAGGTTTAGCACGTAGAAGACTGTGGCACTGATGAAGAAGCCTGAGAATCTGTGAGCGATACTTTCAAGACGAGCAGTGACAAATGACTCACCTATTAAGAAGGCCATATAGTAGAGTTGTACCAATGGGCGTGAGGGATGAAGTTCTGCCTTCACAGTCACAACAAGCCCACCTATAGTAGGCGCCCAGCCACAAATCCAGGCCACAATGGCTCTCCAATTGAAACCGTGCGAGAAGTAATATATTGAATCTCTTGTGCGGTACAAGTGGCTCAGGCGAATCTTTCGCTTACGCAAGAGGTAGTAGTCGCAGGACATGATTCCAATGATGGGGGCAAGGAATACAGAGAATGAGGAAAGGACTTGAATGAACGTGGTGGCGCGGTTGATGAGTTGCCACGGCTGAACGATCCATGCGGCTAAGAACGTAATCATGGCACCACGGCGTATGTTTATGTAGCGTGGGAAGAGACCAGCGAGATCAATGCCGCCCGCGATGGTGTTGCCGCAGATGTTTTCAAACATGGCGGCAAAGCCGAATCCTGCAGCCAGGAAGAATACACCTGCACGAGATCCAGATGATCCGTTACCATTGTCCATCATCTTCATCAGGAGGTCTGTCATGGAAGTACCCAGTCAGTGCACGTTCTATACGCAGTCTACGCAATCCCTTCTCACCTGGCGGATTCCAATACACCTCGCCATATATCTTCTGCCCAGAAGCAGCCGTGACGAGGCCGACCAGAGAAACCAAAACACTGGTAATCACGCAACTGGCGATGGTACCATATATGTAGTTCCGTCTCTTAGTCGCGTAACGCGAGAAGTCGCTACCGTTAGTGATACCGGCAGCAAAACTGCCGATACTTTGGTTTATGCCAGACATAATGAGCCATGAAGTACTCCACATAGATCCAGCAGGAACTCGCTGGCCAGAGTTCCAGAGCGGGCCTACGCCTTTTGCAGTAACCAAAGCCCAGACCATCCATGCAAACATACCTAGGCCACACCACGTACATACTACCAGGAAGGGGATTTGGAATCTCTCCGGGCGTAGCCATAAGAACGGTGTGGAGAGGAACCAGAAAACAACAAACCCAACAAACTGGTCTGTCGTGGTGGGAAATTCGGCACTGAACGTATTCGGCATGCGGGCATAGGAAGGCCAGATAGCCGTCAAGCATACGGCCACTAATCGGCCTCCGTTCCAACCTAGAATGAGTTTAGAAAGGATTTCGTTGACTTCAAGCCGTGGTAGGCTTGCTTACACTGTACGGCGTTCCAGATGAAATTGAGCAGGATCCTTTGCGACAGAGGTATGAAACTTCCCATCATACCCCAACTGTACCTATTCTGTACCGTAAAGCCAATGTGCCACTTTAGCCCTACCCAAGCAATGAAAGTCGAGAATAGAGCAATAAGCACACGGCTAATGACGATGATGAGCATGGACTGTGGAACAGAAAGACCCATGGCTGTAGAGCATGTCAGCTTACCGACGCTAATGTCGAGGTTTCTAGAGATACCCAAGAAGGTGCTTGGCGTCTGCCAATTCGCAATGTTCAAGGAAGCGATGGCCCAAAAGCCAAAGTAACTGAATGAGCCCCATGTTCTTCGCTCCGGGGGCAGGGGAATCAAATCGCGATTGCTCCAAGCATCGGTCTGCTCGTGCTTCTCGTCATCTCCGATCAAGCGTATCTTCCGATTGATTGTAGTGAGTAGATTTCTTAAAGTCATGGCTTAACATGAAGCATGCCTGATTATTGAGAATGGAAGGGTCTCAAGATGGGGAGATGATGGTGCAGCACGACACTGATAAGGACACCATCAAAAAAGTACCAGCTAATTATCACCTGCCGAACTAGGGTCCATTCCACCGAGCCCGTCTAGCACCCTCCCATGCCCACGTACGATGCGATAAGTTGATCATGGGCGACAAGACGTTTTAGCCGTCAAGTGAGGGGTAACACAAGCTGCTGTCTTATCTGGTCAGCGATGTGCATCGCTAGGCGTAGGCCCACGAAGGCGGAGACATCCCTTCAAGACACCAGCTCCACATGTACTGTATGATGTGACCCATATTATCGTGTTCTCTTCCAATCACTCACATAATCTAGCAGGGATCACCGTAAATGCGATATCACTTGCAAGAGCAGGTACCATCAACAAGCCCACAACGCATGGATGTCGTCCCGATGTACGGTGTTCCTCGCCCGAGCTGTTTGCTTATTGGGAGACATCACGTATCCTATCACGAAGTACCTAAAAGCTGACTGTTCACAATGAGCGGATTGAAGTACAAGGCCTTGGCTCCAGAGGCCATGAGTGGGGGAGGGTTGGAGGTCTGGAGAGTTGGAGAAGGCAGGAAGCGAGCTCGGGACCAGGGTCCGTTGCGGGTTAACTCGCCCCACCAACGAAATCTTATCAGATCTCCGCAGTACCATGCAAGGTGTATAGCTGCAGTGCCCGCTTCATCCTTTTCCTTGCAAGCCACTATTTCCCAAGTCAAACAATTTGTCAGCCACGATGAAAGCTTCCAAGAACCTGCGGATAGGCGTAGATGTGGGCGGGTATGCACCATTGTTGCAAGCGTGTATTGAGATCGTAAGACTGACATTGCTGACTAGTACAAACACTGATGGAGTTATCATTGATCCTATGAGATCAAATGAAGAGGATCGGGGAATCGTTGCTTGGTATGACTTCCCGAGGTCAATGAACGCTATTATGGCCGCCGTGCTTCCATTCTCCTACCCAATTCGATACCCAACACAACTCGGACGACATTCACTTCTCTCAAATTCCCCCTGATTTGAAATTGGTAGCTCACGGAATCCACCAGGCACAAAGCTCCTACAACGGCCGATCCTAGTCATGGCATCCACAACGCCATCACCACCATGTTTGAATCCGCCTCAGTTGACCCATCTTCGGTAGCCAGCGTAACCATTGGAACAACCCACTTTGTCAACGCGGTTGTGACAAGGGATCGTACACGTCTATCACGAGTCGCAGTACTCCGCCTCTCAGGACTCTTTGGCATGTACGCACCACCATGTGTCGATTGGCCGGATTCCCTGCGCGAGATTATCCTCGGGCATTATGCGCTCATCAAAGGAGGCTTGGAAGTGGATGGTAGTTTGATCTCCGATATTAAAGAACAGGAGATTATTGAGCAGTGTAACATCATCAAAGAGAAGGGGATCAAGAGCATTGTCGTGAATGGTATCTTCAGTCCGATTGATACTGTCGAAAAGCAAGAAGAGCGTACGGCTGAAATCATCAAACGCGAACTAGGCGAGCATGTCGATATCGTTCTGAGTAAGACTGTAGCCAATATTGGATATCTGGAGCGCGAGAATGCTGCGGTATTGAACGCGTCGATCTTGTCCTTTGCCCGGAAAACCATCGCATCATTCCAGACGCCAATCAAGACGTTGGGTCTCGATTGTCCTATATTTATCACGCAGAACGATGGGACTATATTGAGTGGCAAAGCAGCAAGTCGGCTGCCAATCAAAACCTTCTCATCAGGGCCCACGAACAGTATGCGCGGTGCTGCCTTCCTAGTAGGCAAACAAGAGAATGGTGAAGCAATGATGGTCGTGGACGTCGGTGGCACCACTACCGATGTAGGGTTACTGCTTCCCAACGGCTTTCCAAGACAGCAAGCTGCATATTCTGAGTTATCTGGCGTGAGGATGAACTTTTCCTACCCAGATGTGAAGAGTATAGGGTTGGGGGGTGGAAGCTTAGTCAGAAGAGTTCGTGATCGTATGCAGGTTGGCCCGGAATCCGTAGGCTACAAGCTGCCCGAGAAGGCCCTAGTCTTCGGCGGTGACGTCCCAACAGCAACCGATTATACAGTTGCAGGATCGTCCGACGTTGTCATAGGCGAACCGGAAAAGGTACGCGGAAAACTTGTAGATGATGATGTACAAGCCTTCAAGGACGAGACAAAGAGGATGCTCGAAAGAATCATAGACACCATGAAGACATCGCCAGAAGATCTTCCAGTTCTGCTTGTTGGGGGAGGTGCAGTGATAGCCCCAGACGAACTACAAGGCGCAAGTCGAGTCATCAAACCCCAATGGTCTGGTGTAGCCAACGCTATCGGTGCCGCCATGGCAAGAGTCAGCGCCGTCATCGACACTGTCAAGTCGACCGAGAAGCATAGTCAAAAAGAACTATTGGAGATGATCTGCAAGGAAGCGATACAGAAGACTATAGACGCAGGCGCGTCGGAGGAAACTGTCTCAATCGTGGAAGTAGACGACATTCCGCTAAATTACGTCGCCCATAAGACACGCTTTATCGTAAGGGCTGCCGGCGACTTTGACTTCACACGAGCAGGCGACTTTGCAAACTTGAATGTCATAAAAGAGGAGGACGGTGCAGTGTATCCACTTGGAGACGCAGGCAGTTCGATTGCTGCACCTTCGAGTGAAGATACGGCAGGTGGTATTGACGCAGTCTCCGAGATCGACATCGCTACGTATAAACCCAAAGTGATCAACCGTAAATGGTGGATATCCGAGACCGACCTCGACTGGATAACAATTGGCTGCTACATTCTGGGAACGGGCGGTGGCGGATCTCCTTACTCAACTATGCTCCGGGTCCGTGGCATATTACGAGCTGGCGGTACAGTCCGTGTCGTCAGCCCTGACGACCTCGCAGACGATGCTCGTGTAGGAAGTGGTGGTGGTGTTGGCAGCCCCACAATCGGAGTTGAGAAGCTCTTTGCAGATGAGTATGTTTTGTTTCGATTGAAATAAATGCATTTACTAATCAGTGCCATAGCGTCATGATTGCTCAGAGGCAACTCTACAAACTCTATCAGGGTGGCTACGCAACACACATCATACCACTTGAGATTGGTGGTTCGAACGGATTGCAAGGTCTCGTTCTAGGCGCTAGCACAAACATGGACATTCCTTGTGTAGATGGGGATTGGATGGGCCGTGCATATCCAACGAAGTGGCAGACAACACCAGTCGTATTCAACGAACGCGAAATCATCTTCGCGCCAGTATGTGTAGCTGACGGTAACGGCAATGTTATATACGTACCCACCGCAGCAAGCGACCTCAAAGTCGAACAGATGATCAGGGCAGCATTGACTGAGATGGGAAGTTCGATCGGAGCAGCCGACGCGCCTGTCACAGGCAAGGAGACCAAGCGCTGGGCGGTGGAACATACAATATCGCTATCATGGCGTATTGGTCGCGAAGTAGTGAGGGCTCGGAAAGAGAACAGAATCGACAGTGTCACAGAGTCCATTATCGACGCTGTTGGTGGCCCCGAAACAGGCCGCGTACTCTTCAAAGGCAAGATCGTTGGCGTGGAGCGCAAGTTGCACGCTGGTCATGCATACGGTGAAGTCATCATCGAAGGAACGGGTGCAGAGTATAAGGGTAGAATCAAGATACCTTTCAAGAACGAGAACATCGCGGCCATTCGTATGCGCGAAGGTGAGGATAACAAGACTGGGGAAGAGAAGAATGAGGATGTATTAGCTATTGTGCCTGATCTCATCGCCGTCATCGATGCGCAGAATGGCGAGGCCATTGGAACACCAGAGTACAGATATGGACTACTGGTTTCGGTCATCGGGATCAATGCAAGCGAGCGCTGGACGAGCCCGCGAGGTGTTGAGATTGGAGGTCCAAACGCTTTTGGAATGAATCACTTGGAGTACCGGCCACTGGGTAAGTTTGTGAAGCCAGTCAGTGTTATTGACGAGTACGATGGTGTTTCAGTTTTATAAAAGAGAGCGGCGACTAGAAAAGGCAACTTAGCAATGTCTGAATGGTGAGCATTTTGTGCTAATTGTCGTCTCATATGACACGCCTTTCTTGGCCTTGTGTATCCTATTTTCAGGCTACTGGCTTTTGAAGAATCCATTTCTCATTTCTCATCGATATCGTCCTGCTTTTTGGTCACATGGAAGACACTCACTCCATATATTACTCTTCCATACATTTGGAAGACGTACCAAAAGCAGGCAGGTATTGGTAGAATATGACAACACCCAGAGTGGTGTAGTATTCAGACCCTTCTGTCATTCATAGTCTTGAAGTCTGGACCCTAGCAGATATTCATGTGACAGTCAATTCATCGATGTCTGACTGAACGTAAAAGAGCTTGCCATGAACTGGCTGCGTATATTACACTTCGTCTTTGCTTTCCAGTACTCTTCCTCATCAGAATCTCACAATTTTCCCAACCCCTCGAAACCCTAAAAGGCGGCCAAATTGATCGAATATCCTGTCCACCCTGAAAGGTACCAACCACACGCGTTCATGGTTTGTGGAGCAGTCTTTCCCAATCTACTACCTACTTATATTACCAAATCCCCCTTTTCTACCTCTCTGTCTCAAACCCCTTGTCCATGACTTTAAATCAAACACCTATAATGGTATGCTTCTACTTCTGTGAGTGTACTCTTCTTACTAAAGAGCATTGGCGACTAAACAATATTTTACCGTATGCCTCGTTCCTCTCTACACGCTACCTTCCTCTTTTCAAATCCTTAAAACGGGACTTTCATGTCCTAAAACATTTGCACTCCACGTCCATGAGGCCGTTGCCTCTTGAGGTCCCGCACAGAAACTGGCCAAACCGGAGCGGTACTCAGCTTATATTTCAGAAAGTATCAAACACGGCTTCTTGTGTGCTTACGATACTTTGAAAACATGAATTCATCTACTCTCCGAAACCAGAGAGTCTCTGCAGCATGAACCAGTGTGGTGGAGAGATCTAAAATGCAAGAACGGCTTTGACTTGCTGTCTACGCATCGCTAGATTTTTAAACTTGCCTTGATATTCGGAAAACCGCTGGTTATCTGGTTTTCTCGGTATCTTCGCAAGCTGCGTATGAAAGGTTTCAACATACCTAGGCATGAGCACTTGGGCCCGTGAGATTTTATCATTTGATTACAACCCAGGTGAAGAAAGCGGATGTTATGCATGGAGAACTATCTCTCTCGCCTATAAAATAGTGAGCTCCCAAAACTTTCACATCCTTTCTCCCATGTACATACTTTCTCAAAGCCCCATTGTTCAAATTAGCACGGATCGACGACAATGCGAGCGCTCGCGACTGTCAAAACCATCAATCTGCCTGACACATGGCGGCCAGTAGGCACACCCGCCTAAGCTCCTTGTTTTACAAACTTTCCAGCCTCTGCGTTCTCCACAACACTTCCTCCTACACTTCCCTGAATTTCTATTTTCCAAAAAATGACATCAGTGCGGCTAATGAGAACCAGCGCTCTTTTCTAAAAATCAATCGTTAAGGCCAACGATGTCTGTCAGGCCCAGAGCAGCGTCTTCAACCTAAAATGTATTCCAAAATCTACTGTCGGCATACACACGGTGTGTCGCCTAATAAGGCCCAATGTACCGCCTCGATCCTACTTCGGCCCAACTCGGACCCAACGCTATGTATACCTTCGTAGCCCCCACATTCGTAGAATCATCATACACCAGAATACCAATACACAAGATTACCTTAGCTACTGTTATTCACCGTACGATCGTACAAGGCCTTCCAACATCTACCATAATATTAAAATAAGTACAAAATCTATTTCGGCCAGCTTTCGGTGTTTTCTCAATCGACAAGGTGTCATTGATTTAGATTCTAATATTATTGGAAGGGTTCTTGTTTGAAAAACGTATTGTGGTGTAGTAGCTTGTCACGTGTTCGGCGTTAGGTAATCGGCGCTAGGGTTGAGTATTTCAGGGCAACTCCGCGGGGAGAAGCTCGACAATTATCGTACACCATTCTTAATACTACCTTTTATTGTTCGGATACCTTCTTGTTCTCTACTCTCTACCGATTGCGGGTCGGCAGCCTCTCTTCTGACTATTGAGGCTACCCCTCTACCACAGTATGCATGGAAAACATACTCCATATCTCTTCTTGAAAATGAGCGACATGAAACACCACCAACGCCCACAGAAAGGTGATTTGGTATCTATGATTTCACTGAGTTTTCACGCTTAACATTAGTACAGAATTGTGATCTTCAAAACTTTAGCAGCGCAGTAGCGCGAAAGACATAGTTGGCGGTACCTGTCACGAGAGGCAACGAGCAGTAATCTCAGAACTTATAAAGAAGTTTGATTTGTGTGCTACGTACAGTACTCAAGTGTAAATACAAGACGTTGCGTGAAGAAAAGAAGTGGAGAGTTCCACCCAAGAAAGATACATGGCGGAAGAAAGCTCGTGTGATGTCATACGGTTGTCGAGGCAGTGGCATACTGTCGAGGATAGTACATTGCACTGTTGCGATAGGAGCGTGCGGATTGGAGCTAGGAGCGTACGGGTTAAGAGCAGGAGCGCATGGGTCAGAGGCAGGAGTGTCAAGGGGACCACGGTGGTTACCGTGACAGTACCCGCCTCTTTGGTATCTTGACGAACTCGTATTTTGGAGGTGGAAAAAATGGGGAAGAAGGTAGGTAGGATGCAGAAGTTTAGGGCCTTTTATACCCCACATCCCCATTTCTCGACTTCCCGTATATTCCTATATAACCACATCTAGGTTTCCACCCGTTTTTTAAAACTAATAAGTATACTTAAAACATCTTCCCTTTCCCCAATTTTGTCCTCGCCAAATCAGTATTTACACCGTACCACACCTCCTCCTATCTGCTCAATCATAACCTATTTCTAATAAATTCCGCCTCCAGCTCAACATGCTATTTTAATATCCTTCTCCACGGTACGGGCGCAGGCGAAGCGGCACACGCCATGAACTCTTTGTCTCGCGGTTTTAGATATATCGGATAGGGAGGAAGAGCGCAGAAAAACATGCCCTGGGATAGTTGTGTCTTTTATAAATAATCACGGGAGAATTTAGTATAAAGAGAAGAAAAGAGGAAGAGGGCAGTGGGGCTTATATACTTCCAGCGTCCGACCACCAGCTCCGCGCTCTATTAGGGATGCCCTAGGGCTTTTAGGTTAGTAAAAACATGCGTGCTAGATCTTAGTGTTTAATCTTTGTCTACACGAGTAGGGTCGATAGTACGCGTACAGCTATATAAACTCACCACGCACTCCTCTCTTCTCTATCTACGTACCCTATTCTCCCACTACCAAGACGTCATTAAACTTAACAAATATGTCTCCCTCTTTCCCTTTTTCTAAGAAATAATGAGTTGAAAATAGCTATATATCTGTGCGCGCATGCTTCTACAATCTACTACAACACTTCTCCCACACACTCCAAAATCTCCTTCACACTTGAGCAATAATACTAAAAACACATTCTTCCCAATCTATGAGATCCAACGGCAACAGCAATGGCGACGGCGGATAGAATAGACATGTTCGTGATGTTCATACTTGAAAACTTTCTCTCCTGCACAAATGGAAATCACGTAAGGAGTATCAAGAGAGTGTTGGGGTACATGAATCAAGACGTTTGAGGGTTCGAAGGTTCTTGGCTTTCTAGCAAAAAGTTAGAACAAGTTTTTATAGCAGGGCAGGGCTAATATAGATTATCTTCCTTGTCTTTTCATGTTAGAGGGAGGGAGGGAGGGAGGGGGAATCATGCAAGGATACCCTCTTTTTTTATAGTTTTAGTATTTTGGAAATATTTTTGTTAACAGCGGGTGTAAATAGAAAGTGTAGTAGAAGACACGGGACAGGCCAGCACACACATACGCAGTTTTTTCACTAATTTTCCAAGGCAGCAAACAAAACATTCATAGGTGGTTTCCCATTTTAAGATTTCAGTATCTTCTTGGTTGCCAGGAAACAGAGAGAACATGGCTGAAAGAACTTCCCATTTCGAATTTCAGATATTCTTAACTATGCTTATCAACAAGGGGGAAAGACAAAAGAGAGATGGTAAATAAAGTGGGACACGCCAGGACACACATTTAAGTCATTTTCTTTACCCTTAAAGGCATGAAGCAAAACATGTGGGAGAGAATCTCCAAGTTTAGAACATTAGTTTCTTTTCAGTTACCAGGAAGCAAACAGAACATTGAGCTACTATTTACCATTTTAGAACTTCAGTATTTTGAAAACATGCTTGTTGAAAAGGGAAGAAGAGAAAGAGAGGTAGCAGGTAAAGTCTATGCTTTTATACCCACGACCCCTCCCGCTCGCGTGTGTCACGTGACATCCAGTACCACCTCACCTCACCTCAACGTTACGTCATCATCAGGGGCACACCGAAACGTTTGAAAATCAGAAAATCCTCGATATTAAACATTCGCACACCTTTTGGGCAATCTCTCACTCTCACTCTCTCGCACTTCTGTCTCTCGATCAATGTAACATGCTACCGTCATTTTGAAAAAAACGAGAAAAGCCATGATGCATATGCTCATCTATAAGCGGCGCCCTTCTTCCCACTGTCTTTGAAAAAATCTGCCGAAAAAACACAACAAAATATATGTACCTAGAGCAACTCATGTACACACACACACACACACACACACACTTCTTCTTCCTTCCTTCCTCCACCTCATATAGCCCACACAAGTAAAACGGTAATCGGGCTTCTCGAAAAGAAACAAAACCGTGGAAATTCGAAAGAAAAGCAAAGAACAAAGACCGTTGTCAGACGTGAAAAGCGTAGATAATAAACGTGCTGACGGGTATTAAGTGTAAACGGAAAAGACGCAATTACGACTAGAAAACTTCGGTTCTGGTTCGGAAAACGTGGGGGGTATCGAGCTCTTTGGTAACGCTTTGGAAAAACAGACGGGTATGTGATGTTGGAAGAAATCTAGTATTGAATTAGTTTGATGCTGGGCTGGTTTGGAGAGAGGATCAACTTACCTTTGCACAATCTACCACTGTCTTCCGCTGGGGCCTGTTGGGGTCGGCTGACCGTCGACGTTACCCGTAAGCTCAGCAACACGTGCCTTGATACGAGCGACACGGCTTTCGATGGTCTCCTCGCCGCTCGTCTCGCCCTCATCAGTTCGTTGACTCTGGCTCTGGCTGCGGCTACGGCGAGTCTGCTCTTCGCTCAGCCTGGCTGCACGATCGGCTGCGTTCTTACGAATCTGCGCCCATCGATCTTGAGATGGCGATGTTTGCTTCGAGAACTCGACAGACTCTTCTGAGATGTCATCTGCATGCTGTGGCATACGTTCCGTCGGGGTCCTAGGCGCCGGAACCTGTCGACGAGGCACGCTTGGAGCAGCGGCGGCATCATCATCACTCTCGTCATCAGCAGGTACAAAAGCTGGCATATCCTCCATAGGGCCTTGGTCAAAACGCGAGAAGGCTTGGTCAACCTCCTCTTGTGTTGCAGGAGCACCGGGAGAAGCGGGCGCGCCAGGTCGGTATGACTTTGTGATACTTGAAGAGCTGGTAGCGCTAGGCTCGTACTTGGGTGTTGGCGCTTGCAGGGCCTCAGATTTCTCGTAGGCCAGCGATGGCTCACGTGGGTGATCGTCCAGTCGAGACGTGCTGCGTAGGGCATCTGACGCTTGGAAATAGGACTCTTCGTCGGCTTGTGTCGAGTGCGCAGCTTGTGCGTCTGCTCCTGGCACTTCGACTGCGGGTGTAGCCGCGTCGGTCTTTTTCCTACCGAAGAGCTTTCTGAAGCCTCCTTCCTTTTTCTTGAGCTTGTTTGGCGAGATCCTCTTTCCATCACCTTGGTCTTCGCTCATGCGAATCTTTGGCTCGGGAGCGACGGGCTTGCGCTCAGGCACAGCGCTCCTCAAAGCCGGGTGCTGAGGGCCGATGCTTGATTGTGGCTCATCGGGAGTTGGTGCATGCTCTTGGGCAAGCGACTTGGGGAACGACTTCTCTGTGGGTGAGTCATTTGGCCAAGGCACAGGGGTCACTGAAGTATCTGTCTTGGTGTTGATGTGAGGAGGTGAACGAGATGAGCCGCTGTCGGACTTTGGTAGCGCAGGCAGATCGCGGTTGGAGACGCTTGGAGGGAGCGGTGAAGAGCGTCCGTTGGCAGCAGTTGTGAGGTTGTTCTTAGAACCTCTGCCTGCACTTACATCACCCAGGTATTGGGCGCGGAGTGCATCGCGATCAAGTGCGGCCTCTCCATATTTCTTATCCCACTGCATAGCTGGGCCTGCTTCGTTGACCAGATGCGGTTGTAGAGTGAGAACACTGTTTGTCTTGATGGATGTGGTATCGTCACTACGTCCACGGCGCTGTGCAAAGTCTTTGGCATCCTTTTCATCCCGCTCGCTTTGCGCCAACTTGGCGGCCGCAGCTTGAATCCTTGCGTGCTGGTCGGGGCCAATGCTCGTCTTGCTCATGGGCGTGTTGGTCGTTGACCGACTGTATGGTTCCTTTGTGGGCGGCTTCTTGCCCGTCGACTTGCGCCGGCCTAGTCGCCCACGTTTTGTGAAGCTGAACTTGGACTTCTTCTCTGCAATGTAGGCACCCTCTTCCGGACCTGGAGAAGCACCCTTCACCTGTTCTTCCATGACCAGCCACTTTGCGCCCGAAATACGCGTCTCAATCAGTGTGCATCTGCCAAACGCAGCTTTGCGATCCGTTGTCTCCTCAGACGCCAAACTGATCATCCAAACCCACCAGAATGTCTCGTCGAGATCGAATTGGGTGATGCTTGCCAACTCGCCAGGCTCGAGGTCATCGTCGTTGAGGCCGTTTCGCACGTGTGATTGAGAGCTGTGGACGCGGTTCTCCCCTAGAGGCGGTAGTTTCTGGGTCGGCATTAATAGAGTTGTGGGAGGCGATTGGTTGTTCTCGTCAGCAAAGCCGGAAGATAGGAAATCAGCCCATGAAGGCGTGGTCGGGCGGCCAAAGTCGGTATTCTTTGAGCGAGCACTGGGTCCAAAGTTGCGAGTACCGCCGTTTATCGAGGTTCCATTGGGAGTGCTGGGAGTGTCCAGAATACCAGAGAAGCCAAAGTCTTCGAAACGGGACCAGGAGGGGTCTGGTGTTGTAGGATCAGCCGCAACAATCGACTGGTTGGCCGTTGCAATGCAATCAAGAACTCTGCGGCACTCATCCGTCAGAGCCTTTACGGTATCTTCATACGAAGAGAATTCCTGCAGGGCCTTGTCGTCATCTCGGTATTCAAAGTGCTTGGCCCGGCGCAACAGGGCGAATGGTGTAGGGGAAACGGAGTCGACAATCATAACGACTTTGGTTGTGCGCGTCTGCATAAGCGTCGGTGTTTGCGGGGGGTATTCGGTCTGGGAAAGGAGCGATTGAAGGGAGCGGGGAAGAGCAGAGATGCCTCCGACGGTGTTTACATCTGGCGCCAGCGATCGGAGGTAGGCGAAGAAGAGATGACTTGCAGCATCCGCGGCCCTACAAATGGTCAGTATAGATATGTTTGAGAATGACGCCTGTACTTACTTCTCCCATGTTTTGTAGCCGCCGTCAAAGCCCTTGCCGTCTTCAACGAATTCAAAAGCCCACCATCCTGCTAAACGGGAGAGCTTCCTGCCGCCCATACCGTTGCTCTTGCCTCTTGCCGCCACGGCAGAGAGAAGGTCGAAGAAGTCAAATATGATGCGCTTGCGAGCCTCGGACTCGACGCTGATGGGTATGAAGGTGTCAAATGCATGGCGCGCGAATTTTGAATCTAGAGGGTGTCAGTCGTTGCTGAGGGGTGGTGGTGGTAGATGTAGCGCTCTTACCAGACTCGCCGATGCGAAAAAGCTCATATGCGTCCCAGGTAACGACACCACCGGGTAATCTGCTCCAGCACCATTTTATGATACTGCAGAGTGTCTGTGCATGTCAGCGCATTCGGCCCTGCAAAGTCACGATAACAGGGGCGTACCAATGGCTCGGTCAGCCGCAATTCCTGTGCTAGGCCCTCGCCTGAGAATTGCCGTGTGTTTTCGTATGCGGCCTTGAAGAAGTTGCGCACAAAGTTGCGGGATGCACTTGTGTCGGAGGTGGGGCGAAATGGGAGGAGCAGAAAGGGCATATCCAGTGCTATCACGAGTTAACTACAGCGTTCCAGACAGCAATTGGAGGCGTCTGCATACCTCGCGACTTCATCTCTTGTGTGCAGACATGGATGAGTTCCTGGATCTCTTCGGGCGCGACATCTTTGCGCGTCCATGATTCCTCCCACCGGGGTTTTGGCGGCGCTGCAGGCTCGGGCGCGGCTTTTGCAGCCTTTTGCTTGTCTTTTGATGTGAAGACGTTCTTGAAGAAGGGCATTGTGAGGTTTGGTGGGGTGCCTGGCGGAAAGCCGGCCGTGTTGACTGCAGAGGGCGGTGACGCAGTTGGGCAGTGTGAGGATGCGCGTCGCAGTTGGGGTAGCGCAATGCAGGGACTAAAGCTATTCAATTGCTTTTGCTTCGTAGATAGACGTGGTTAGCAGTTGTGTACATGTATATGCTCACGGCAGGGCGGGACGACTTCAGATGCCCGTGGGTCAGACTTCTGCTACTGCTGCTGCTGCTGTTGCTGCTGGCGGGAAAGGAGAAAGGCAAGGCAGTTGCACTCTGGCAGGGCTTCGACGCTTCAAGCGAAATAAGTTCCAATCCACGTCCACCGAATCGCTCATCCCTGTACCGCCAAGCTATGGCCTCTGCCGTGCACAGCTGGCTCCGCTGGCTCCTGCTGCTTCCAAATGCTTTTGTTTCGTGTCTTTGCTTTGCCCGCCAGCACATTGCACCCGGCTGTCCATCCTCGAGGAAAAAATCTACGCGGCAGAAACCGTGGTTGTGGAATGCCATTGGTCCTGCCCAGATGATGTGTTGTCCCTTCGTCGCGTCATCCACCGCTATCCCCCTCCCCCCCCCCCCCTCAAGGGTCTGGTCGATAGCGACGAGACCGCTTCCATGTCCCCCGTTCATGTCCCCCAACTCGCCCACCCGACAAGTGCTTCACCAACACCCGCCATATCCCAGCGACAGAGGCACAAAGCACCCCTTCGCAGCCCCTTGTGGCCTAGACCCTGCAGTAATGCGCCGGCTGCTGATCCGACTAGCTCCCGAACCGAAAAGGCCGTTGTTCTCACAGTGACCCAGTCTCGTACGCATGAACCTTACTCCACTATAAATCTCGATAGTCACGATGCCAGGTCCGTTACTAGTACCTACAGACGAGATGCACGAGCGATCTCTGCCATGAGCTGACCTGAGCTTCTTTTTGGCATCTGATCTGCCATCTGCCATCGTCCACCGTCTTATCTGTCATTTGACTCCAATCTGGCAATGATGGCCAGCTTCCCTGGATCAATTATCGTATCCTGCCAAGGCATTGTACCCTAATATATTCATGTGACGCAAACACACAACTCGCCCGTCCCAATGCGCCCACCACACTCTTCTCATGCCCACGTCAACATGCATGTCTCACACCTCTTGTCATGGCCAAGTCGTGCTGTCGCGTTGCTGAGATAATCGCTTCGAGGACGTGCAATCTTCAGCGAACCCCACTGGGGCTACTTCGGCCCATCTTTGAAACAACAGAACAAACTCACTGTCACTTCCACCCGCGTTCCCACGAGACACCAATAGATCGCCCGAATGGTGCCCAACTACGAAATAGTATTTCGATAGCCATGCACTTTGTGATTGCTATGCCTTAGGGGGTCGGTGGCTGTAGACTTCTGTAAGGGCTAGGGAGTTCCTGCATACATTGATGCAGACGCCCATAGTTCTCTTCTTGTATAGCATCCTATGTTACACCATTCGTGGCAGCCACAAGTACTCGTCGTATGCAGCCACATGGCCTCTCTGACACCCATCGCTGTCTTGTGCACCTCGCCAAGCTTACAGGCACGTGTTAAGGCTCCATGTTCGCGAATCGCGCTAACGGATCGAGCGAGTGCCTTCCGGGCCTAGCTTCACCGCCCCTCAGAGCCGACCGCCGCTGACATCTGGACTTTTCCAAACTATACGCACGTTCAAAAAGAAACATATGGTGACGCTGTCGAGCACCAACACTGTACTAGTAATTGGCCTACTTACCCCCAGACCCAGAGCCACCGTCCTCCGTCTATTTCGGGCTTCAGCTGTGGCTTCTCAACATGCCATCCAAAACATCATGTCCAATTTCCGAGCTCGACCGAGCATTATCCTCGTATGTGAACTCGCGGGAGGATACATTGAGGATCCGCCGGACGCTGTCAAAATACCTCATATCGAGCTTGAGGCCCGTCACCGCAGCAACACAGAATCAGCACTTAAATCATGAGTGTCCCCAAGGTCTTGCCGTAGCCAATACAAACCCACCAGGCTTGAAAGACACGCGCCTGGACTATCTCCAAGCTCTGCGCGCTAGGAACCAGGCCCTAGCTAGACATCGCGAACTCCAGGCTTCGCTAGAGCAGCTACGGGATCGTCATGTGGACGAGAACCCCACGCAACCAGAGTCGGAATACGACAATGACGTCACGCGTAGTTATGTGTCTTTATTGCGACAGCGCCGACGCTATGCAGAGCTTCAGGTAATCCAAGAGTCTCTTGAGAAGCTTCTGAGCGCGAAGCCTTCAAATGCTTCAGCGGACCCGCGAGACCTGATCAAAAGCGCAATTGGCGAACAACCAGACCTGCCTGTAGAGAGATTAGAGCACCTCTCACAAGCCGAAGATGATCAGGCCAGCATCTTCAAGCTCAAGCAGGAGGTACTCGAGGCAAGAGCAAGCATGGAACGAGCCCAAGCAGCAAGTAACAAGGCGCTAGAGGAAACCCGACAAGAACCCAGCCTACAGGCCCAAGTCTACGCCCTAGAACAAGCGAGAAACGAGATCGTAGACTGGGTTCAAGGCGAATTAGCCAAGATGGAAGAAGAAACCACCTTTCCGGAAGACGCCTCGCCCATGAAGCGCCCAGTGACTTCAGCCGCGCCCGTCGATCTTGCTTTTGCAGAGACCCAGGTGCGCGAGTCATACAACAAATACACAGCCACTCGCGCGCGTTTACTTGAAATATACGCGAGTTTCCAACAGCCGCTGGACATCCCATCACTCACCCAAGACAGCGCTGTACCTATCCCTCAATCCTCCACCACTGTCACCACCAAACCCCCCAAACCAGAAAAGCCCATTTCAAAACTCCTTCCCCACCTCCCTCACCTCTCCCAAATCGCAAACAACGAGCGCGCCCTCCTTCAGCAATCTGTCTACCTGGAAACCCAAATCGCAGCCGCAGACCAGGACATTCAAGATACGTTACTTCGTCTCGCAGGCGAAAGCCACCTCCTGCCGCCCGCCGGCTCCAAGGACGTTGCCGCGTGGGGTAAGACCGCGAGGGAGGCTGAGACTGCCACGGACGAGTTTGTGAAGGCAAGGTTGGGAGAGAGTAGAAAGGAGGTCGGGGGTGTGAAGACGATTGTGGAGCTGTGCTCATTACAGGGAAGGGTTTTGGAGGCTGTATGAGGGGTCTGTGCAGGAGGTGGGGTGAGGTTCGTCTGATATGGTTTGGATAGATGAGGGGTGGGAGGTGGCACGTGGGAAGTACGTAGTAGGGGGCTGTTTTAGGTAGTGGTAGGGTAGTAGGAGGGAAATCCCAGTATAGTTAAATATAGAGTTTTTTTGTTGCGAAACGTTGTGCGTGGTTTGTGCGGTTTGGGTTTGATGAGCTGACTCCACGGAGATTTTGTGGAGATGTCATTTGTGTTTCATGAGGAGTGTTTCATGGAGGGTGATGTGGGATATATAGTACGACTTCTCTGCGCCCATCACCAGTATTGAACCCATGTTTTTGTTTTAGTGTTGTCAACGGTCGGATTGTGAAGAGCTGGGTTTGATGTCTTCGCCCACAACAGAGGATGGCACAGCACATAAGTTTGGAAGGATGTCACTTTTCAAAACACACAGATATGTGAGCTTCTACTATCTAATTCGACCACAACCAACGATAGTCTATGTCATACTTTTTTTTAGCAAAGAGAAGATAGACATAGAAATCCCCAGTCACAGCACAAGACAGCATACGTAACTCCTCAGCTCGTTTTTTTAAAAAAAAAATATCCCAGGAACACAGACAATTTCCGCGACTGGATTTACCTCACAACCATGTCGAGTTCACCCAAAGTTCCCAATACAGGCAAGGAAAGATGGGGATCTCCAGACACAACCGAAGAATGATAGAAGTATGCGAGTTCCATTTTTTCACAAACCCACAAACATGTTGTATAGTTCTGTTGGATTTACAGCACGAACATCCGCAGTATTACCATATTCTTTTCAGCAAAGGCGAAGAATAAGCTGAAAATACCCTAACACAACAAAGGAAGATAATATGTATAGCTAGCGCATTTTTTTCTCAGACTCAGACAACCATGCGGACCTCTGCAGGAAGATTTTTCACACAACCGTCTTTTATTGGTATGGATGTTTTCTAGCAACACGGAGAAAATTTATTTTTGAACCACTGGACATGATACAACACAAGCCGGCATCTAGAACTTCAATCATTCTTTCAAAGTCCCACAAACATGTGTATTTATGATGGTAGATTTTTCACACAACCATTGCTTACTGGAGTGTAGGTTTTGTTAAAACGGGGAAGGGATAATACTTTTTAACCACCAGACACGGTACGACCCACCATACGAATGTATTGGAGTGCTTTTTTTCAATCTCCCACAAACATTTGTGATCATGCCGTTAGATTTTTCACACAACGATGGCTTTTTGGTGTAGATGTTTTGTAAAAACAGGAAAGGAAGAACATTTTTAAACCAGACTCCGTACAAGCCACCATGCGGTTATAGAACGAGCTTTTTTTTTCTATCTCCGACAAACATGCGATCTTCCGCTGCAGGAATTTTCACACAACCATCCCTCGAGTTAATAACTTCTTTTTATCACACCAGAAGAAAGGTATAAAGCTTTTTAGGCACGCCACTCCACAGCATCCGAACCAAACTCCATGTTTTTAACATTCCCACAAACATGCGCAATTCGGCTGGCATGTTTTTCACGCAACTATACATCCAGCTTGTAGTTTCTTTTTATCATCCGAACAGATGAATTTTTTAAACCATCAGCTACACCACGCACCACCCCATCATGCGATATTTACCTGGTGATTTTAAACTCCCACAAACATGGGGATCTGGCCATCGATTTTCACACAACCATATCGTGTTGATATCTTTTTGGTAAAACATAAAAAACAGGAACCATCACTGTTCAACTCACTGTATTTTAGTGATTTTTTATAGGAATGCTGTGGTAGTGAGGAGGAGGAAAGAGGAAAGAAGTAAGAGAAGGAGTGGGTTTATATAGTTGAGTGCCAAGGATAGAAGCGGGGGCAAACAGCAAACGGGCAGAACGGATGCAGTTCTCTAAATTTTAGTGTTTCTGCCACATAGGGTGAGAAAAGTGGTTTGTCAAGGGACGAAAAGACTTGGGAACGATAGTTTATGTATCCTTTTCAGGCGGAAGACAGCCACATGACAGACGGCGATGCTGATTTAGAAGTTTTGGAACATCGGAACAGTGGGAATGGTAAAAAAAAAGGAGTGACAGCAAAGACCGAGACATTGTTCATTCTAGTACGTGGTTTTAGTTTTCAAGTTTAGAATACGAGATAAACGAGGGAGAGGTGTAAAGGTAAGAGGGAGGGAAGAAGAGAGGTTTTTAATAGCCTTAGTAGTAGAGTAACCTCCATAAGGCGAATCTCATACAAGTTTCCAAAGGCGGAAGAAGAGAAGCAACCCATTTGATCGTGGGTTTCGTGTTTTTAAGTTTGATAGTTTAGGAGAATTTTATGTAAAAGGTAAAAGCTGAGAAGAAGGACGGGAAGGGGAGAAGTTTTATAGGTTTTTCTGGCGGAGTGAACTCCATGCGTTATGCTAATGGTAGTTTGCTAGAATAATTGGAGTAAGAGAGAGGGGAGCAAGTCATAAGCTTGTAGGATTGTGAGTTTTGAGTTTGAGATTTCTGCAAGAACGAGGTAAGAAGTAAGAGCAAAAGGAGAAGAGGAAAGGAAGGAGATTCAACGCGTTTCTGATAGGGCAGAGTTATGAAAGGGTAGTGATGGTTTTTGGAGTGGCGGGAAAGAAGACAGAGGAGCGAGCCATCTGGAAATCGACTTTAACTTTTCATAGATCTATGGTGTCGGGGTTTTCATATTCAAAGAGTAATAGGGGCGGAAGAGAAGTAGCTTTTCTAGAGATCCTTGGTGAGGCGGGTCTATATGGGAGACTGGATCCTGAGTTTCTATAGAAAAAAAGAGAGGGACAAGAGCAGTCATTCATCTTCGTGAACCATCTTTTTTGTTGTATATTTCAGAGAAATACAATGGGTAAGAAGTAGGAACGGGAGACGAGAAGCAATTCTATAGGCCTTTCGCGTTGGGCCGTCCCATTGATAGTATGTTCGTCTGTTTTTAGTAGAAAGAGGAAAAAAGACGCGTCAAAGTCATGATCCATGTCGGCATCCCGTTCTAATCATTCGCTCTTTTAGGAAGACTGTGTGTGGAGAAAGAGGAGAGAAAAGAGTAGGTGCGAATAGAGACCTTTATATACGTCCCCTGGCACCGCAGATTCATATGTAAGACAGGCTTCACCTTTTCTACAAGAAAAAGAGAACAAGTAAATCATCCATGGAGTGCGGACTGATTTTAAAACAGCGTTTCAGGAATGCGGGCTTGGAAAAAGGCGGAAAAGATACCGTCTAGTGTCTATTCAATGAAACTTTTCATGCTGCCTTTTTACGGCAGGACCAACTCATGGTAATCTTCTTTTTAGATCTTAGTATAGTTTTCAGTAAATTTTCGCAGAGTAAATTCAGGAGAGGGGAGAAAGAACGTGGAAGAAATATGTTTATATACGTCTCTGACGACGTGTATCCATTCGAATTTGAGTAGACGTTTTGGGATCCGAGGGCAAGAAAAGGGCACAGGCTATGAAGGTGGAGTTCTAGAAATTCCAATGTGAAGATTTAGAAGGAATGTTCTCGTAGCAAATAGAGTAAAGGAGGTAAAACAGGTTTAGAGCTACGATTAATAGATCTCACTAACGTCGTCAAGCCCACAAAGCTATCGATTTTGTTTTAGAATTAAGGACGAAAAGAGGGTACAGGTCATCCAGGGGAAGTATAGACATTTTGGATTAGATTTTGGAAAAAGGAGTCTCGTATCGTAAACTTAGAAAAGGGAAGGAAGATAGAGGTACCAATTATTCATGTTTATAGCGCCGTCGAGCCCATGGATCCATTAAATTTCCTTGTCAAGGTTTTTAGAAATCAGGACGGAAACAAAGATACAAGTCATTTCGATATTCACTTTGTCTTTCAATCTTTTTTAACCCCATTTTAGGTTGGTAGAGAAGGAGGGGAAGAAGAGAAACGGAGAGATACAATTCATATACGCCACTAGTCTCGTTGACTCATGAAACAAGGAATGCTGATATTTAAATTCAAAGGCTGAAAAAGGAGGCAGAGAGCACGCAAGCCACACGGATATCTGCCCGCACGTTGAATCAAGTGTTTTACGAAAGATTTTATGAATCGGTTGAAGTAAGAAGAAAATGTCAGAGGATGATTTTATATAGGCTGCCAGCGTTTGTTGAGCCATGTAGAAGTGAATTCCGATCCTTTTTTTTAGGTAAGAGTGACGAAGAATGGACGCAGAAGAAGCACCTCTCCGCACTTCTACATGGGCATTTGGTCAAAGCGTTTTGGCAATACGGAATACACAATCGATATGGTAGGAGAAAAGTACGGAGGAATAATTTCAACACACACCGAGTGTCGTCGGCTCATGTATCCTGGTTGTACTGGTTTATAGTAAAAAGAAGGAAAGAGAGAAGCGGCTCATGGTACGTAATGATGTCTGATTTAGTAGCATATTTTCTGTGATGATAGTATGGAGAATAAGAGGAGAAGAAGAGCGAGGAAGTTATTTTTATACCAGTCTCTCCGGCCGCGCGGCTCCATCAGAGCTCTTCCGGGTGATTTACGAAACAGAGAAAGAGAAAGGACAAGACGCAAAACAAACCAAATAGGTTTTCTTCATATTAAGTAAGAGAGAACGCTCAGGCACGAAGGTCATGGCGTTGTCGTCTCTTAGATTTCACTGTCGGATTTTGACGTTTTCAATTCATGCATTCTGTTAGATTTTGACGGGAGAAGAAAAGGGAAGAAGTAGATTTTGTACTTGTCTTGCCAAAACAACAACATTAATAAAGCACACAGGAAGAGAAGAAGCCATTCATACTATTTTCATGTTCTTAATACCCTGAACTTTTAGAAATATCCGAGGAAAGGAGGCAGAGAACGATTGTATGCGCGTCTCCTGGATCCCACACCTCCATGTATCGCTTCACTTCAATGTTCGTAATGTAGGAAAGACTCGGAAACCCTTTATTTTTGGAGAGGTAGAGTAATTGGAAAAGAGAAAAAGAGACACGGAGAATATTGTTATGCACGCAAACTTTTGATGCTAGAGTTTTCGGGAACATTTGTGAATCACAAAGCAGAGAGAGGGTAGAGAGGCAGGAGATGTTTATATTTCGACAACCAGGTCCGTGCACGTCTCCCCAAGACCTAGATAGCAGAGAGAGAAAGAGGAAGGCGCAAGGTCTACGCCCGGCGTTTCAAGCACATGAATGCGCGCCGAGACTTATTTTTTGGACGCGTAGTTTTCGCCACCACACATGCAACCATCACTTCGTCCGTTTTCTTCTCGCTATGATCTTCGAGCAACACGCCGGAAAGCGCAGAAGCCATTGGGGCAGCCAGCTGTGATTTAGAGCATTCAACAGTGCAGATATTTTTTCTCGATTCTCTCAGATTCATGGAGGGAGATGTAGGAAGATTTAATTCGCAAAGGAGAAAGGGCAGAAGCTACATTCCAATGCGACCTGTGATTTTTTAGTAAGAAGAATATTACAGAAAGTTTGTGTGTGTAAGAAGCAAAGGAGTAAAGGCAGGGGGAAGGACTTTATATCTCCGCGTTCACCGTCCCCTAGCATACATGCTAGTAGTATTGAAGCAGGAGTCTTGCCCCTAGACAATTTTCGCCAAAGCAGACACACCTAGTCATGCTCCTCGACTTTCCTCTTTTCAGAAACTTGTATCGTACATAATTCATTCCTCCGGAGGAGCATAAACGCATGGCCCAGTGATGTGATGGTTTTCAAGTCCGGCACCTCCAACACATGTATTTTTCGTCAAGAGAATTTCAGAGCCCCGGACATGCCGTGAGGTGTATATGGTTTTAAAAAAACCAGACATTTGTAGATCATGTTCCTCATTTTACAAGAGTGCCAAACGATACATTGTATTCAGTTTCGAGTGCAGAGAAGAAAGGCCCACATATCATGTTTTTCGCGTCACTTTTAGTGTTCGAAACCAGAAAGAGAAAGAGTAGTATATTTTTAATTCCTTGGAAAACAAGGAGGAACCATGTCACGTAGTGCTAGCGTTTTTAGGACAAGAAGGAAAGCAACACACATGTAGTTGTCGACACGCAATTTAGGTAATGTCCCCTTTAATTGGAACTGATAGGGTGAGAAAGAAGAAGAAGAAGGAGAACATAAGAAGAGAGGAGTTTACATACCGCTCTCAGGCCCTGATATTGCGCTAGCCCAGAATGGGTAAAAACTTTGATAGTTGGGTAAAGAAGTCGTGGTACGCACATCTTCTTCCTCATCCAGAGTTTTCAGAACCACATTCACATGCAATGTGATAAACAGGATTTCAAGATCTGCACATCCTGGTATCATCTCGTAATCTTGGTCGCTCGGCACAGCACACATCCATCAATCCTTCATAGGTATGTTTCGAAAACCAACAACAAACGCCTTTACCACGTCGTCGTTTCAAAAACCACACATCATTATGTTTTGGTTGTAGTTTTAGTCGCTCAACACAGCACACAGCACTCAGACATTCCACTGCTGAAGGTAAGGGTTCAGGAAAAAAGAACAGGACATGTATCGTATACAAGCTTAATTTTGAAAACCACACATACACACTATCTTTATCCATTTAATTTCTCAAAAAGACCGCCATACCATCGAGCATTGCAGTACCGGTTTTAGAATGAAGCAGAGGAGTATAAGAAGTAAGAAAGAAAGAAAACAACCACAGCGGCAGAAGATTCTACACCCTAGCCTCTATCCTCGGCCAGCAGCACATTTCATGCTTGCAATCGTGATTTTAGAAAAGTGCCGCCATGCAGGTGACATATCTGGTATTTTTCTAGAAAACAAAACTTTTCAGTGAACAAGTCCGGGGGAGAAGCGGACCAGAGACATCAGCTTGTCTCGAAAATTATTTAGCTCATCAGATGTCTCCATGACTTTTTTCAATCTAAGCAAAAAGGGAGAGGGTAGAAACCTCTAGAAGAGCACGCAGAGTTTTCAGAGAGAACCATACTTCGATTTTTTGTCTATTTTTTTCTATTTTTGGGGAAATGTTTTATTAAGAGTAAAAGAATAGAAGGGAAGATAAGAAAGAGGGAAAGGGGGGGTTTATATACACACCCTCGCGCCAAGGTTCCATGCATTTTCTGTGGAGCCATTTGTGTGTGGACTCCGCGCCATTCTCATAGTGAAATGTGAGAGAGTATTTTGGTATAGCCATGATTGTTTCTGAAATGCGTTTTTATTTGAAATAAGGGGAGAAGATGTAAATATCACGTTGACCCCCGCGGCCTCCACATATCGAGTCTTGGTACCAAACTTTTAATCCGCCGCATGTGCGAAGTCTGAGCTCGTTTTAGTGAATCAGCAAAAGTCCCAAAGAACACACCATGTTTCAATTGTCTGTCATATTAGGTACGCGGGGGGGGGGGGGGGGGGGGGGGGTTTGGCAAACTTTAGAATGTGAAAAATAGAATACAAGGAAGAGGAGAGAAGAGGAATAGAGAACTTGAAGGAAGATTTTATACCCCAGTGCAAGTACCAGCACCACACTCGCATATATGGTATTGCTGTTGCAGTTTTAAACTCCACCCCTGGAGACTCAGGTACAGGAACCTAGCCCAGCTCCAAGCCATCCAGCTTGACATTGGGTATTTTAGAAAACATCATCTCCTTTAGTCCTTCTTTTTAATCCCAAAAAGTCCACAGACCCCTCCCTAAAAGAGGCAAGCCTCAGAGAAAGCAGAACATAGCTTCATCTCCAGCCATTTTCGACCCCAACATTATACCATATGTTTCTATTATTTTAACACCCCAGAACACTTCTCAGGACATCAACGCTTCTTCTATCTATTTTTATAAGAACAAGGTAAGAAACTAGGAAAGGTAGTTCCACACACGCATCGATCGAATGGCTCAGTTTTTCTTCTAAGGAAAGCCGGGCAGGCAGGCACAGAGAACATGAGGGACTTGATCTTAGTTTCTGAAAAAGCGGAAAAAGCTTTATATGATAGATGAAGTAAGAGAGAAGGAGAAACAGAAGAGAGGAGAGGTATTTATACACATAGGCTGGGAGATGTGCACGTGCGATAGCCGCAGCTAGTCACGTGATATCTCGCACAGCTATACTCACATCGCGATTTTGAAACTCGAGTGTATCATCTCCAAATCGCTAAAAAATCATTGTAATGTTTTGTAATCAAGGTTATCTCGTATCATAGGGAAGTCACGTACCACTACCTCAATACCTCGCCCGCTAGAAAAGTCCGTCTAAACCCGTGCACAAAGCCGCATCAGCCCACTCAATTCAGACTTTTGTACACACATACGCCGCCGAACCCTCCTAACCATCGCTCCTCGCACAATCAAACATCCCTCCACTTCCTCGCAGACACCCTCTCCCCTCCACTCATCCTCTGCCCCTGCCCCATATGCCTATACTCCCTGCCAAGCCCACCCCTGTCGCTGCCTTGATCGATCATCCTAACTGTCTTTCTTTCTTCAACAAAGGTAGCAGGCTTGCCGTGTTCATCGATGCCCCTCCAGCTGCGTACTTCGGTAATTTCTTCAGAATGCTCACTGTCAGAGTCTGTGTGGTCTTCTTCCTCTTTTAGGTGGAGAGGTGGCGGTGTGAGGGATCGCATACGTTCCATGGCTCGGGGGCGGGAGATGTGACGGTAAAGAGGCCTTGGTGTACGATTTGGTGACGGAAGAGGGCGAGGTGTGCGTCGGGGTGGCGGTGGGGAGGTGTGACGAACGTGGACTTGTTCAAATCGCCTCGGGGGTGGAGACACGGAGATGCGACGCTGACGATCGATTCGAATTTCATCTTCATACTCCCTTCGCGGTGATCGTGATGTGTCCCGGATGTGCATTCTCTCAAAGTCCTGGGCTAGTGGAACAGACACAGCTCCATCCACAACTCGATGTCGAGAGTACTCTCGGTAGTGCTCATGATTACTGCCGCTTCCCACTCGATCGTCTGCGTAGCGCGGCCTACCCCTTGGGTCATGCACTTGCTCGCCTTCCGTCCTTCTACCTCCAAAGCGCACTTGCGGCCCTCCGGTTTCCACATGCATGCTTTGCTGGCTATCGCGCAGGCTGTCCCTTCGCCGATACGATGTCTCATGATCTATACTAGCCGACTTCAGTATACTGCGACTAGGCGACTGCAGGCGGTGACGCGGCATGGGTTCGGTATTGTCAGAAGACTCATCCGATGCCCTGGGAAGTGCACGTGGATCTGGAATGACTGGCCGGTATCCCCGAGGGTGTGACCTAAGACGAGCTTCCGCCTCGTCGCTTCGACGTTCTTCGCGGTAACTAACACGAGCTGGAGATACGCTGTGAACCCTCCGTACACGTTCTTCCGACTCACTCTGATACACGACACTTGTACGTCTGGCTTGAGGCGGAGGAGACGGACTGAGCTCGATGATCCGAGAGCTCTCGCGACGCGGTGGGCTTCTCTCGACCTTCCTGAACGAGTGAGTACGGACAATGTCTGGTGGAGGCCATACCTCGTCCGATCTCGTGGCACGACGGGGAAGTGGCTCAGGTGGTGCCGGAAACACTTCGTCTGATTTTGTGGATCTTGTGCGCACGATATCTGGTGGGGGCCAGACTTCGCCAGCATACCTTGCAGAGGGCCGTGGACTCAAAGAAGACGTTTGGATCACCTTCTCAGTCCTGAACTCCTGCTCTGGTTGCTGCAGCACCCCCAAACCCATACGTCCATGACTGGACTCTCGCCTCACAACGCGCGGACGGCTAGGTGAGTACCGCATAACGTAGATCTCTTCTCTGCTCCGCCGC